CCCACATTTTCTATTAAAATATGGGCAATTAGTTTTATAGATATTATTAAAATCACTTATCAACGATTAAAGCTGTTTAATTATTTAGAATATTAAATGATATGAAAAATGAAGTTACACCAATCCAATAATTATAAATTTATCTTGATGTAGACTTAATACTAAATTATTACAAATTATTCATTCGTCATAAAAGTTATAAAATTACTAATTACTGAAATTTATAAATATATGAGATGATACTTTACACTTATAAATATTAAATTACCTTATAAAAATGAGGAGTCAATATTCCAACTATTATAATAACATTTTATTCTTCTAGGGAAAGTAAAAATTAAAATTAAGAAGAACGATAAAGTAATTTAAATGCTAATATACACACTATTAAAACATAATTATTAATCAAATTAGATTCAGAGTCAACATAAGATTTTACTAAAATATAATTTTTGATTTTGTTTCAAATTTATGATTAAAAATGTGACATTATTAACGTTTTTTATAAATATCATAAATGCTAAAACATTTATGATTCAAAACGTCTAATATACCAATTAAAAATAATATTTTTTAGATTCTATCCAACAATTTTAAAAAATTATTAAAATACTTAACAAAAAAATCCAATGAATACAAAATAATTTAAAAACTTTTTTAAATTATTGTAATAGATAGTACTATTTTCAAATTAGATAAGCTATTACTAAATAGTTAAAAACTTGATTTTGTTTGTAAACATCTAAATTTTGTACTCAAATAACATTAAAATATTATCTAACTATACGTAAACACATCCATGCACATCGTTTAAATAACTACATTAAATGTTTTAAGTTGTTTTTGATTTTTAATATACAAACACTTTTATTTTCATAAGAATTTGATACAACTCTATGTATTTATTAATATTTATTATAAATTATAAACACTACTGTCACAAACTACAAGTAGTTTAATAACAATACAATGATTTTCAAATAACTGATGATAAATATTCCTATTTCATGGATATTAAAAGAAATAAACTTAAGGTCATACGTTATTAAAAAAATCAGTATTGTTTTCAACAGACTTTTATATAAAATGAATAATAAAAATATATACATACAAATACGACATTTTTACGTTCAAAATAATAGATATAATGAAAATCAGTTCCCGAATTTATTATATCATTTATTAATAAAAATTAAAATAAAATAATAACTTGCATGAAAAAATTAAATATACTTGGAAATCATCTAATATAAGTGACGATTTCTGAAAACAGAAAGATAAAAATTATTAAATTGAAACCTTCTCTAATAAAATCATGACTTAAAAGTGATTCAAGATATCACTGTAAGAAACAATCCAAAAATTCTCATGCATCAAGATAATATTTTTAATACACACGTACAATTTTCAGAAAGTCGTACACAAATGTGACATTTTTATTACAATTCATCGAAAAATTCCCTTACTTTTGTATGCATTAAAAACTTCAATAACATGTGTATAAAATTTCAAAGGCTCTTTTTTTAAGAGTGATTGGAATAAAATATGTAGTTTACTTTAATATATAAAATTTAAATAATAATGAACAACTTATGTAATATAGACAATGATAAAAAATGATTATTTAAAAAAAAAACGCAGCACAGTGGGGACGTGGCATAGTTGGGTCAAGTATAATGATATCTGACAGTGCTTTTAATCACTGTCATAAAAAAAACTTCGATGCAAATCTGTTTAATTTTAAAAAATTGGTGGATTATTCCATAAGCTCATGATCTCCTATTTCCTTATTTATATTCTGATTACAAGTTTTATGATTTATAAGTGTAATATATGAATAAATATATAAAGGGTAATGTTCCGATTTAAAAAAAAAAGTATGTCGCATAAAAAAAGAATATAAATAGTACTTATCTTAAAAAAATTATAATGATCCATACATTTTTCAAAAAGTTATAGCGTTATAAAGTTAAAAATATAAAAAATTGTATTTTTTTTATTAACTTTGAAGTTTGTTTTCAACATGAAGCCAAAATAAAATCCGACATTTTTTTTTTCCATAATTAAGTATATTAAATTAGCTTAATGTAAGATATATATAAATGTTTTAGAGTTTCCGGAACACTTTAAAAAATTAAATTGAAAAAGTTCTACTTTCTCTATGCATTATATTGATTTGGTTATTTTTGATAAAGTTATGGTTGTTTTAAGTAAAAAAAATTGAAAATTTTTTGAAAATTTGTAATTTTTTTGGAGATTTCCCCCATTTACAGAGAACGAGGGAAATTTATTTTTGAAGGTAATGCCTTCAACTAGATACAATTTGTGATCTTTTAACGTAATGTTCATCAAAATCAGTCTAGTGATAGCTGAGAAAAAGTAGTAACAGACAAAAAAAAACACATCATAGTAAAAATAATACCTTCTCAGCTTCGCATGGAAGCGAAAATATAATAATAATAGTAATTTATAAAAAAAATGTTATATACTATGCCTTCCTAATAGAATAAAAATTGTATATTTTTCTACTAATTTCAACTTACGTCACCAAGTAACAGCAATGTGATATATTAAGCGAAAATGTACAAATTAAAAATTGATTTAATTTTTAACCCATAGAAAATATCAAGTACATTGTAAAAAAAAATTATTTCTAAACGTAGATATTAAGGTTAACATTCGAAAGTTAAATGGTAACCTATCAATATAATATTACTTTTTAGATATTATTATTTAAAGAATTAAAAAAGGTTTTAAAAATAGTAAGAATAATTTTTTCTAGCATAACAACCTTCATATTTACCATAGCTCATAAAATAAATTAAACTTTAGTAGTTTGTACATTTTTATGAAAAATTGTTATTATTTAAAGAAAAATAGGATATTAATCACTATATAGAGTATGCAGTATATAAAGTGTCCAATCAAGTTTTAACATCTTTAATTTTGATTCAATTTTGTGTTATTTTTTTTTTTTTAGCTTCGGATGCGAATCAATTTTAAAGTTTTGACTACTACAGTTTATTATTTGTCTTTAATAAGAAAATAAAAATATATACTTATATTAATAATTTTCTTGAAACTTCAAAATAGCTACTTTTTTGCTATTTTCTTACAAAAAATTATTATGAGTCAATAACAACTTTAGAATAAGTACTTATCGAGTTATAAGCATTAAAATACATACAACGGGTATTTAGCGTAGGTGAAATGTGCGTTACATATATACACCCAGTATTTCTATTAATACATTTATTCTATAAGTTCTTGATAATGTGAGTGAATAAAATCACGCACCAATCTCTAGTAAATAAATATGATCACAGAAAATAATCATACCAAGGCCATATTATGTACGCTCATATCATTCGAAAAATATAAAAATCAGAGCTGCACTTCGTTTAAGGATGTTACAGAAAAACCTATAGTTCGTCGATTTTAAGAGAGAAATTATAAAATATGACCTCGACAAATTTAAAAAATACTAACGGTGACAATGAAAAATAACACTAAGCACCTATTACTAAGCGTAGCATTTCATTTATGGATCATTGTTTTATCCAAATCCTACAACATTAGGTAAACAGCCGAAAATAAAGAATATATTAAAATTTTATGGAATCCGAATCAATTTGTTTAGTTTTAACATATTTAATAATTTTGAATTGTTATTGATGACAAAAATATCCACGTTAAATAAAAACATTTAGACGAATATTCTTTTTTACTCTACGATAAATAAGTTGTAACAAAATATTGGGATTACATTTTTGAACTCAATTGTACGAGGCAACATGAATATAACACATTCCGTTAATTGTTATTCAGTTTTAAGAAACCGAAAATGATAATTGTGACAGGTGGAAACTTTCCCGTCAGCTATATATGACACAAGGTAGTGTATAACAATAATGTAACATTAAAAATGAACCCAGACTGACGAAAACAACGATATTATGGTGTACGTGAACAGTAAATATATCACAAGACAGAAAGGATACAAACAATTGTTGTGCAATCAGATTAGAAGTCAAGGGCATTGTACATGTGTTTATTATTTAAAAGAAGATACATTATCTTCTATTATTTCTCTGGATACTTCATCCAAATAATCCTACTGAGGATAACGATAACTTTATCGTGATATAAAATTTTGCAAAATATGTCAAAACCATGTTGATTAAAAATTTATAAAATTATTAAAAGACCTCTAAAGTCCAAAAATATATATAAGTATTCATTATTAAAATTGCTTGAGAAAAAATTTGAGAAATCTATAACATCATTAATATGTCAATAACATACTAGTTAATATAAATAAATAAGTATTTTAATTTAAGATTTCGTTAAAAAAAAAAAAATGGAAAAGAATGATCTCATTTCAACTAGAAACTAGAATTTTTCAAGGAACACCAATTATAAGACGTAAGTTTTAATGCACTAATTAAGTAAGATAATTTAGAATAACCTTAAAATGTTCTACATAACGCATGCTGATACATTCATAAATTAATGAACACAAATTACAGTGACACTTGTACAAGTGTAAGTTTTACTGAAATGTCTATTATTTATACTATTAACACTATGAACAGTTTATACAAATGTTACCCTAGAGTAACATCATCGAATTCAGATATGATTTATTCTGTAAGTGAATGGAACACAAGGAAACTCTGGTCTCGTAACTCTAATGACGGTTAACAAGCGTCTCCTTTAAGATTTATTCTTCTAAGATTCTGTAACTGAACGATTTTCTCGACATGATATTCATGTCCTTGTAATTAAATTTGTGCATATCATTATTAACTATTGTATTGTTTATCAACATATTGTAATATTCTTTTAAAATAATAAAATAGAGGTTTATTCTCATATGTGTGTAATTCTGGTATAAGAGTAATATTTCCCCCCTTCATAATTTTGACTCTTAAAGTCTTGTCTATGCATAATATTAACATATAATACTTAAAAACTAATTATAATTTCTATTTACTAACCAGAATAAGACGAGTTCGATGTTTCATGTAATTTGAATGTGAATGGTATGTGTACTTTCATCATTTTCATTTGAGGAATTTTCTGCTGGACAGGATGTACTCCATTTCCTCCAAACATTAATTCTTCTCCGTGTAACCAAAATACAGTCATGTTCCTGTAAAAAAAATTTCCACATTTTTTTAATATTAAAAAAAAATACAGTTAAGTCTGAGTAGATTCCAAAGAATGATGTTCAATTAACTAATTAAGTTCCTAAATTCAAAACACATATGCAATAATGACGTTACAGACTGTTTGATTTTTGAACTGAATCAAACTCTAGATATTCGGTACGGAACAACAATATCAAATAGCATGCTAATTTAACCGAAAAATATATAAAAACACTATTATATGCACTAGATTGCGCTTAAAATGTCAGGAGTTTTAAGACAACACATTTGGTTTAATTTCAAAAATATTCAAAAACCCATAACAGAAATCAAAAACAGGTTCTTTAAAGAAAAAAATAAAATCATACATATGTATAATTTTATTATTGGCTTTTATGATATAATTGCCAACTTTCAAATTAATTTACTAATTAACAAGTTATGCATACACCTCTAATTTTATGAAAAATTCCTTTTTTAAAAAAAGACACGAATTGGTAATTTAAAAGAATAATTATAATTGTATAGCTTTTAAAAGTGAAGGTCCACAGAAAATTTTGACTTTACTTAAATAGTTCGCCTGATAGAATATATGACACTTGAATATTTTTTTAAGATATAATCAGTTAGTTAGAATATTTTTCATTGAAATTAATATTTTTTGTGTAAAAATATATATGTAATATGCATTACCTATTATCTTATACATTACTACTACGCTCTAAATTTACACATTTGAGACTAACTAATTACTACAATTAGTCATACTCAAATTTGTATAAAAACGCTATCAAAAAGTCTGTAAAATATATTTTTTTACTAACGTTTAAACTAACATAACTTAATTAACATAAGAAGAATCCATCCTTTGAAAACACTACAAAAGATACTATTTAATTGGTAAACGAAATAGTTCAATAATTCTATTTTTCGTCTTCATGATATTTCTTACATGTATAGTAAGACACATTTATTATTTATAAGAATCAATAATTAAATTAAAAACCAGTTGTTATATAACACAAACATATGTAAATAGTAGATATACAAATATTAAGAAATCAAGCTAAAAGGTCCAGAAGAATAATAAACGAACTTATAATTCGTAAAATAGTACAACGAGATTAACTTCATAATAGAATTCTATAAATCCTTGGAAGTTATTAAAACCATGCAATGCAAAACAATAATAACACACACACACCTCATCGGCCTCTTTTCTTTACAATGCATGGTAGACACATGCAATGGTCCATAGTTGAAATAAACTAGTTTATACCGTTTAATTTATGAATAATATTCATTGAATATACTTCAGTTATTTTATTTTCTCTTTAACTGCTCAAACTTGTTTTAGGGATGCACATCTATATGTAACCATAACCACAATAATACCGATAGCGAGTTGAACATTTAGAAATTACTAGTTTCGACAACTTTGTTCCGTTAGACGTAGCGGATATTTACTGAATACTATTCCATAATTCTTTCGCCAACAATCATGAAAATAAAATTATATCGACAATTTTAAGTAACTAACATTCAAGGTCAACAAAGATCTATTATTAAAAAAATTAAAAAATTATAAAATGAATATGATTATGAAAGCAAAATTATAATACTTTCGGCGTGGTGAAAAAAAAGAGAATCATGTAATTATTTTGCAAAATTTAGTTCCGGGATGAGTTAATCAGATTTCACAGATATTCTAAGAGGATTTACAGAACAGTTATTCGAAAATATATCAAATATCCTATGATATGATTATCATGATTAGCATAACAAATATTGTATATTTATACGAGTTTAATTTTAAAGTTTTTGTTTTTTTGAAATTTTATAATATTATCTTATAGGCAATTTGTATTTTATAATTTTTCAATTCGAAATAAATTATAAAAGTAATCATTAAGTGTATAGCTAATACTCGACATTTAAAACAGGTATGATTGAATAACAACTCTAATGGGGATTCTACTTTTATTCACTTTAAGTCACTATTTTTTTTTAATTTATTATACATTTAAATAATTAATTGATCAAAACTTCATTTCTTAAAAATTAATTAAATCATACAAATTTTAACTAAATCCATTAGTTTAATTTAACTACAGATGTGCCTGTCTAGAAATATATTTTGTAGTAGGTTCTAATAATATAAATTCCCACAACTCGGCCTGAATAATTAACCATCGCTAAATTAGAGAATTTAAAATATTAGAAATAATTTTTTATTTAGGTTCATTTTATATAATAAATTCCAGAAATTTCAATATAGTTTCTAATAGACAGTCTCTAACCGTTGCAGACGTTTCTACGGAAAAGAGGAGGTGTTATAGAGTAAATAAACTCCATAGGTCAAAAATAAGTTTATGGTAAAGATAAAAATTTTTAAAAACGTCAAGAATGACACTTTATAAAGATAACTAAAATTAAAATTATAAATTAATTAAAATATCGAATATTTCGTTATACAAGTAGTTATTTTTCTGGTAATTTTCTAAATGAAATACACTTAATACAGCATGCAAAATATATATAAATGAGTATTTTTTTAAACACAACACAGACATTTGGCATATTGCCAAATGATATTTTTATTTTTTATCAAACCAATATGATATGCAATTATTCACGGTAGAGTTTTACTAATTTATTTTTTAACAACTGTTAATCTTTGGGACCCATTCATAAGAAACTCGAAAAATTAAGATTTTAAAATCTATTAAGTATTTATAGATATTTTATAGGTTTTTTGTTCGTCTATAGTTATTTATCAGTATTTATTTATAAAATATTAAACAATCAAATATAAAGATACTATAACTTAAAAATAATTATTTTCAAAAAACATTACTATACAGGTAAGTTAAACTTTCACTTTAAAGGTTGATACATTCAAGTTGCAATTTTTTTTTAATATATTATAAATGAAATTGTTAATCACTACGAAATCATAAGGTTAAAGGATGAGCAACGTCGACTTTAATTACTATTTGATATCAATATTTTGCTATTATCAGTAATTTTATCCTGTTATCACCATGAGATTGAGTACAAAATTAATAACAGACAAATTAAGACGAGTCATTACATAATACCGCGTATTCGATTTTTTCGAAAACATAGTTTATTATAGCTCACCTCATTATTAACAAAAACATTGCGCAGAAACATATTAGCACAGCCAGTACGGACAGGATGTTGGAGAACTCGGCTACGGACACGAGCATCGCGGTCATGGCGACCAACATGGTTGTTACGTGTCGACTGAACAGCTATGTAACGATCCCGTCACGTTAAAAAATTGCACACGCGATAATAGGCGACTACTATCAATACACAGTGTTAACCCAAAAACCCGGGGGCTCGAAAACCCCGTCTTCTGAAAGTTCAACACATCCGTCGGTCGTTTTTCACGTATTGATGGTATCAATATAGATTAACAAAATGGTTCGTTAAACGAAACGGTTGCAATATTTAGATATTTCTCTATGTGTGTGCAGTTAACGTCGTGTTTGCCGTATTTTTCGTTTCGATATAAAATTTCACTGTAATAAATGCTATTATCGTTTTGATAATAGTAACTATGACTCAAAGATAACACAACACTAGAAATGCGTACGATATCGACTACAAATGATAATAATGGAACATTTATTATTATTATTGTTATTGTAACTGTAAAAGAGGTAAGCGTAATCCTTGAAGCTGACAAGGGGAAACGTCCACAAAGAGACAAAATTTTAATTTCCAAAAATAAACGAAACGTTATCAACGAGTAAAGAAAATAAAGTAGAACGATAACGGACACTAACACAAACTGAACGCCAACGAACCACTCCGTACATCAAACCATCGCGAACGACCGCAGGTCTCGATCGGCGGGCAACCAGTGAACGTGAAAGTAGCGCGCCGGTGTAGCGTGCGCTCGTTTCTACCACTCACCCCACCTATAACTTATTCGTCATCGTAAACAGCACCTACCCCTCCATAATATTTACACGTCCGCCGACTCAAGAAATGTTCCCACGCAGTGACCTAACTTATGATTATCCTTTTGAGTATTAATTACTCAAATGTGCGTGAGTAACATTAAGAGTTTTTTTATTTATTTTACAGTAAAAATTTGTTAAGAAATTTAATGTTTCAAATTTTTTTTATTGTCCAAAAAGCTCTGACACTGTCATCTTGGCAAAGCTACGTTTTCATAACTTTTTGTTCCATAAATTTAAAAAAAATATCTTCTTTGTATTCCTTCCTATTTGTTTGGAGTCCATTAAATTATTATTATAAATATAATTTAGATTTTACTAACCATGTTTAATGTAATAATATTAATTATTATAATAATTTAAAATTAAATAAATCTTTTTTTGAGTAAAAAATTGTTTATTTTATCTAGGAAATTTCAACTAAAAATAAGATAAAACCTTAGTTTAAGAGTTGGACAAAGATTATACGATCAGAAAAAAAATAGAGAGAATATTTTGTTCAATAAGTAGATCCATATATTTTTTACTATTAAAATTTAATTTGAGTTTGTTGAACAACTGAATATACCCTTGATACCATTAATTAATGGTATCAACATTTAAAAAACAATAATGCGTGTATTTATACACGCATTATTGTTTTTAAAATCGGCTTTAAAGTCATGACTTATTATATATACTATTTTTTACATAAAAACAATGAGAAAAAACACAACTGAATAATATGCAGGAAATTGAGTAACGCAAACGATGAGTTATTATCGTTATTATATGATATATCTATGCCATTTATATATTTTTAAGGAAGTGCTCTACGTGAAAAACAAAACATCTCCTCCCTTGAATATACAAAAATTATTCATAAATATATTAAAACTATACTTTTCAACTAAAAATTAAAAACTGTGATTTCTGAGACTAAAAAGTCTATATACAGAGTCAAATTAAGACTTTTATTCATAGATAAAAATAATGTTTTGAACTTTGGGGGCTTTAAGTCTTGAAGATCAAAAAAAAATTATATAGCTTGAATAGGTATACCCAATATTCTTTTTATATATTCATAAATAAACCATTATACATTACATTATATTAAAAGGATTTTTTTTCTTGTAGTATTTCAACTATATTTGTTGAAACCCAAACATATTACTTTATTTAAAATAAAATACACATACTATACTGATAATATTTTATAATCACGATATTAAAAGACAAGAGTAAAAAGTAATTATTTATACAATAATATAAGGAATTATTTTATTTTTCATAAAAAATTTTTAAAGTCTGCTTGTGAATGCTAAGCATCAAAACAACCCTTATTTACGCATATATTAAAACTATATAATTAATTTTAATCTTTCAAATTTTATTTGTCTTTTCTTCAGTTTTAATTAGTCAAATGTTTACTATCGATTCAATTATTTTTGAAATTGGTATTGTACCGTCTCTGAATACGTACATTTCATATAACATTATTATTTATGGATTTAGTTATAATACTTTTCATTTTCAATTAAAATAGTTAATTAAAAATTGAATATTAGCTAAAAATTTAAAAATTTTAGAAATTTTGAAATATTTTTCTAAATTACAATACTGAAAAAAGTAGCATTTTAGCAATATTTTTAAATAACTACTTTTTTTTTTTAAAATAACGCTGATCATAATGAAACTTTAATAAAATATAAAAGACAATAGAACTTTTTTTTTTATACTTTTTGTAAATATTCAATTAAGTACAAAAAAGAAATAAAAAAAAACCACCCACGCAATAAATTTGTTTAATTAGATTTTTGAAAAGGTTTTGGAACGAATAATTATTTTTAACAATTATTAAATTAAAGCTCTTAAAGTGTCTTTGAAAATGTACTTTTTATTTTACATTATTTTATATAGATGTAGATATAATAATTTTTATATTTAATTAGTCTCAATATTATTAAAATATTCTGTAGTGATATCAAGTGAAGAAAAGGAAAGAAATATATAAAAATAACAGAAGAACCACTTTAATGCAGTATTTATCCAGCAGAACAATAATAATATTTTCATAAAAATAAATGAACTTAAACTCTAACTCTCTTTTTTTAATATATATATATATATATATATATATAATAAGACATAATTTTTCTTAAATTATAATGGGACAAGCTCTCTATTTCCATCTATTTATTTTAATTAATAAACAGTCAACTAAAATGTGACATTCAGTTGCTCACATTAAAAATTGCTTAGAGTATTGATACAGACTACATTATTTTTTCATTTAGTCTGTGGTAGTGAATCCTTTTAACGTTAAATGTAAAATTGAATAATATTTTAATATTAAAAACATAAATATTAATATTGTACAACGTATAAATGTTGAACAATAAACTCAATTATTACATAACGTTATAATATATTAGATATTAAATAAAAAAGTAATTTTAATCCAATTCCTGTTTATCAACAGAAATTACTATCAAAAATTAAAAATATAAAAAAAAACATGTAATAGATATACAAAATTCTTTGTTAGATATTGACCAATAACGCTATTTATAGCGGCTCTCATTGCTTACGAGGGGAATTTTCCCCTTGCCCCGTGACTAGTGCGCACCTGCACCCATGCATGCAAAAAAATTTTATACTCGATTTTTGAAAAGATTCCAAAAAAGCAAGTTTTTACTTAGCAATTGTAAAATTAAAGGTATAAAAATTATTGTGAAATTGAAATGAGTACGGACGTTTGAATGATTATATTAAATTTGAAGTACTGGTGGTTTTCTAACATAGATTTATTAAATTATTAATGTCTATGAAGGCAAATAACAAAATATGTTAAACATAAGTCAAAACCCGATTAAAACATAATTTTACAATTTTTTTTTAGTCTACATCAAGAATTAAAATATAGTAATGCAAAACTATTTTTGGGAGCAAAAATAATTTTTCTTTACCAAGTGTATCTATTGTTGAAGATGTTAATAGAAGACTTATCAAGCGCACTCAACAATTGCTATTGTGATTATTACATAGTATAATTACTCTATAGTGATAATACAACTGTTAAAGCACATTGATATCAGGTTATTTTTGTGATAGTACTGTAAAATAACGATAACCTGGTTGAAAATGTAATATAATTTTAAAAAAAATTGGAAAATTGCCACTCTAGCTCACTAAAATATATTGAAATTTTCTAAATGTCTATTTTCATATGTAAAATATTACTCAAGGAAACCAATAAAAGGAAATATATAAAACAGTAATGGAAATAGACGATGAAGATTTGGTTGTTAACGTGAGTATTATGTTTTTTGAAATTCAATTAAATCAAAATGAAATGTTATTTATTTTAGAATGCTGATTTACACAATTATTTAAAAAATGAGGGTTACACGGAATTCGAAGTCATTAATAAAAATATTAGAATGCAACAGAATTATAATGAGGTTTTTATTATTTTCTTAATTTAAACACTTATATTATATTATTGTTTTTTATAGAATATTGTAGGACAAACTACGTTTTTTACAGATAATCAAAATATTCCAGTTAGTATTTATTATTCCATAATCCAGTTGAAATAATTTATAATAAATATATTTTGTTTTTAGGACAATGAGTTTTATTTGATTTTGATCATGAAAATTTTAAGTAGTAATTTGGTGTTTAAAGAAGATTCTCTTTTTATAAAAGAATTTATTCCATCAAGTAATGTGAAGTACCCTTTATTTTTTACTAGAAGAAATTGGTAATTAACGTAATTAAAATTGATTTATAATATGCTTATAATTCCTAAATTTTCTTTATTATGTTAAATTCACATTAAGAAAGTCCATTGTGTAGTTAAATTGATAATTGTAATAAAATTTTAAACCTTTGAATTTTTATAACTTTCATTAGTATAACTTAATAAAAAAGAATAAATTTTTTACATTAAATAACAATACATTGTTACAGAATTACTTTAACAACTTACAATTACTGTAAGCACTTCAAAACACTGATTTTCATTTTTTTATACTTTGAATACATGAGTACTTGATATTCAAGCAAAATAATTTATAACACCATCACAATTTTTATAGTTTACAAAAATTACTTTATGAATTTTAAAATATAATACTTATGTATCATTGTAAATAAAAAACTGCTAAGTCTCTTAAAAGTATTTCAGAAATTTGGCCAATTTTATCTAATTATAAGGTTTAAAATATGAGTATATTTTTTATCAATAATTAATAGTTTGTTTTATAATGTATTTAGTTGCGTTACTTTGAGCTTATGTTTTATTGGCTGTATTATTCATTTGTATATATCTGGTTTTTATACTGAGTTGGTGATTGCTAAAATTTTCATCTTCTGGTTTGGGTATCTTCTATTTGAGAAGTTTTTTAATTGGTACAAAAAAAAGAAAATAGAAAACAATATATCTAGTACTATTCAATCAATGGTAAAATTATCACTACTAGTACAGAAATGTTATCATTTTCTACATGATTGTGACAATCTATACCAGATTTATACTTAGTAAGTATTATTTTTGTCATTTAAGATATAATTTATACAATTTATAACCAGTACTTTTAAAGTACTGATTTTTTAAATTCTATCAATTTCTTCTGATTTATATTTAACCTTTTTGTCTTCTATTTGCCCACTAAATTTGTGTTTATATGCTAACATCAGGGACAGCATGAAAGAGCAGTAAGAGTAATTGGCCTGCAGTTCTGAAATTATAATATTACTCAAAGCCCCAAATAAGTTGTAATTTATTTAGCCTAAAGTCCAGCAAAAGGTTGTGCATTTACTGCCTAAGGAAGTTATATAGTAATTAGATATTAATAAAAATTAGAGACATTTTATTTTTTGATATTTAGAGCTAATTTATGACAATCTAATATCATTTTTCATTACAAAAACTTTCTTAAAAATATTCAAATTAAAGAAAAATTGTTATGACCAGGGATCAAAACTATACCTACTTTTAAATTTTTTTAGTTATCTAGAATTTATCAGTAATAAGTAGATAATCGTGTTTGTATGTCTTCAAACTTAATAATACATTTTAATGAAGATTTCACATATGAAGAATGTGTAAGGATGCTTTTTTAATTTCTATTTTGGAAAGCTTGAAAATATACACTAAGTAAAAAAAATGGCTCTCATAGATACTAAGATTTTTCTACAAGTCTAGTCAAGATGATTCATTTGTTAAAAAATTTTATCCATAGCTTAAATCTAAGTATATATTATTTCCATTAAAAAATTATATATTATGATTACATTATAACTTAAAATTGATCAATTGATTTTTTTAAATATAATATATTAATATTCTTTAATATTATAATATATATATATATATCATTACATAATACATTTTTTTGTGTCATAATGATTTATTTAAGAATTATTATTCAAAGTCAAAAAATTATTATAAACAAAAAATATTAATCAAGAATAAGCTAAATAACATATTTTTCTTGATTAAAGTATGAAAAAATATGATACTAATAATGTGATTTTAATCTTAAACTGTAGACACAATTATTATTGTATAATATTTTAATTAAGATAAAATAGACCTGTACACATAACTTTATAGTGTAATGAAGCTATGTTCATAAATAAATAATGCTTATTGGTATAAGTGTAAAGATTTAAATTTAGTATTTAATCCAGTGTCTTTAAAATAATTTAACAAAAAAAAAAAAATTCAAAAGCAATGATGTAAGTTTTTAGACCAACATTTACTATTTTTACCAAAAATACTAAACATTAATGCATTATTTAATGACTCTATAGTCATAAGATTGTTGTTTCCCCAAAGTTTAATAAGTTTTTAATTAAATTTATTAATTATTTATTGTCAAAAACAAATGTTTATTAATAATAAATTTTGGTGCATACCAAAGATATTGAGTTTCATAAAAAAAATTATATTTTGTGAATTTGAATTTTGAGACTTTTACTGAATTTAAAATTAAAACTGTATTAAAAATATTAATTTAAAACTAAAAAAAAAAGTTACGGTAGCACAGTGGGGTCGCGGCATAGTGGAGACATTGCATAGTTGGGTTCAGTCTAGATTTAATCTGACAGTGATTAAAATCACTATCATAAGAAACGCTTCGATGCAAATCTGTAGATAGTGTTTAATTTAAAAAAATTGATGGATAATTGCAAAAGCAACATCAACTTCTATTAAAATAAAATACAAAACCCATAATTTTCATACAAAAATAGCATATTTTTGAATATGGTAGCCATTTGCGTATAGAAGATAGGTCGTCGGGACAAATTTTTTTTTTTCATTTTGTAGTACATAAAATAAGCTTTAATTTTATATATGTTTAAAGGACGCAGTATTTCCGGAACATTTTCAAAAATTAAGTTGAAAAAGTTATTTTTTGTAAAAAAGTTACTATTTTAAATCCTCCCAGTGAGCAGAATAAGTGTTAGATTTTCAAAAAAAATTATATCAAATGAAAGGGAAATATCTAAGGTTTCAATACAAAAAAATATTATTTTTATTTGTTCATTTTTGAAAAAGTTATGGCAGTTTTAAGTACAAAAAACATCCCGATAAAATGTAATTTTTATCGCAAACATTACATTTTTTTTTAAATTTTCGACAGCCATTTGCACATAGAAGATAAGATGTCGGGACAAATTTTTTTTTTTCATTTGATAGTATATAACATAACCTTTGATTTGATATATGTTTAAAGGACGCAGTATTTCCGGAACATTTTCAAAAGTTCAGTTGAAAAAGATCTATGTTTTTTACAATATTTTAAGTTTTGAACGCCCCCTATATAAGGGGAAATTGTCCAATTTTAATAAAAAGTATGTCAAATGAAAGATGTACTTATAATGTATTTAGAAAAAAAAAATTTGTGCTGATATATACATTTTTCAAAAAGTTATAGCATTTTTAAGTTGAAAATTTAAAATCGAAAATCGAAAATTTTAACACAAAAATAGTGTTTTTTTAACTACGGCAGCCGTTTAAATGTAGAAAAAAAAGTGTCGGGACAAATTTTTTTTTTTCATTTTGTAGTACATAAAATAAGCTTTAATTTGATATATGTTTAAAGGACGCAGTCTTTCCGGAACATTTTCAAAAATTAAGTTGAAAAAATTAATTTTTGTAAAAAAGTTGCCATTTTAAATCCCCCCCAATGAGCAGGTTAAGTGATAGATTTTCAAAAAAATGATATCAAATGAAAGGTAAATATCTAAGGTTTTAGTATAAAAAAAAATTATGTTGATTTGTTGATTTTTCAAAAAGTTATGGAAGTTTTAAGAAAAAAAAGTGAAAAAATTTCGAAAATTAGCGATTTTTAAATTTGTAATTTTTTTGGATATTTCCCCCATTTGCGGGGAACGAGGGAATTTTTTTCAATTTTTAAGGGTAATGTCTTCAACTAGATACGATTTGTGATCTTTTGACGTATTTTTGAAAGAAATCGGTCCAGTGAGAGCTGAGAAAAAGTGGCAACAGACATAAAAAAAAAAAAAACACATCATAGTAAAATTAATACCTTCTCCGCTTCGCATCGAAGCTAAAAATTTTTAATATAGGTTTAATTTTAAATAATATTAGCCTCAAGTGTCCAACTTTTATTATATATTTAATTATTGCTTTTAATAAAAAAATTATAAACTATTATTTGTAAAATACATAATTTTATATATTTTTTATTTCAAACATTTAATTTTATATTTAACATTTGATAAGTTATTAAACATAATAAGTAAAAAAAACGGTAGCACAGTGGGGTCGCGGCATAGTGGAGACATTGCATAGTAGGGTCCAGTATAGATTTAATCTGACAGTGATTAAAATCACTATCATAAGAAACGCTTCGATGCAAATCTGTAGATAGTGTTTAATTTTAAAAAATTGATGGATAATTGCAAAAGCAACATCAACTTCTATTAAAATAAAATACAAAACCCATAATTATCATACAAAAATAGTATATTTTTCAATATGGTAGCCATTTGCGTATAGAAGATAGATCGTCGGGACAAATTTTTTTTTTTCATTTTGTAGTACATAAAATAAGCTTTAATTTTATATATGTTTAAAGGACGCAGTATTTCCGGAACATTTTCAAAAATTAAGTTGAAAAAATTAATTTTTGTAAAAAAGTTGCCATTTTAAATCCCCCCCAATGAGCAGGTTAAGTGATAGATTTTCAAAAAAATGATATCAAATGAAAGGTAAATATCTAAGGTTTTAGTATAAAAAAAAATTATGTTGATTTGTTGATTTTTCAAAAAGTTATGGAAGTTTTAAGAAAAAAAAGTGAAAAAATTTCGAAAATTAGCGATTTTTAAATTTGTAATTTTTTTGGATATTTCCCCCATTTGCGGGGAACGAGGGAATTTTTTTCAATTTTTAAGGGTAATGTCTTCAACTAGATACGATTTGTGATCTTTTGACGTATTTTTGAAAGAAATCGGTCCAGTGAGAGCTGAGAAAAAGTGGCAACAGACATAAAAAAAAAAAAAAACACATCATAGTAAAATTAATACCTTCTCCGCTTCGCATCGAAGCTAAAATTAATCAAATTCAAACCTTGAGCTTAAGTTTAAACGTTATTGGATTAATTAAAAATTTTGCAAAGGTAATTTTTTTACTGGTTAGAATAAAAATGGTCCGATCTTCAGAATATAACCAAATATTGTTAAAATTCTGGTACCCTTAATTATAAAATTTTGATTAGGTAAGGAAACGGATATCTATTTTTCTCATTGTTTATAACAATTGACCTTTTTCCTTATTTACTGAACACTCTGTCTATATATAAATATGTTAATATGATCAATTTTTTCTTGTTTTACTCTGTAATTTAATTTATATATTTTTTAGTATTAATATGTACTAAAAATATTTATAAACTTATATATTTTAAAATATTATTTCAGTGCAAATAATTCAAAGGACAGTAAAAAAAACTGTTTTGGATATTTATTGATGCCAGAATTAAAAGAAAAATTTATAATTCTTCTTCATAATTTAATAAATCATCATGTGAGTAATATCACTGAAATACAAAAAAAAATTCTGTTTAAGGAATTTGTATCAAACTTCGTTTATTTATATCACAGTGATTGCAAATTTGACATCCAAAACTTTTCATTGGAAAATATCAATGTGAGTATATTGAATATTTATTTTGTTTAATTACATAAAATCTAATATTTTTAATCAATTGTATTTCAGAAAGCAAAATATATATTTTTTTTGTTGCAATCAGAGTTTTTAAAGTTATCAGCTTTGTGTTTATGTCCTGTTTTATGGAAAGTTAACTGTACTGCTCAAATTAACTACTTATTTTCCTCAATTACAAACTTAAATAAAGTATACTGTGACTTAAATGGTCCTCTATATGAAGAATTTAATGTCTACTCTTTATTTACTAATAATAAAAATTATAATCATGGTAATGAAAAAAAAGATGTTATTGATTCTGATCTTAAATCTAAAATTGTTAGTGTACGACAGCACATACAAAAAATGATGGTGCATATCAAATTTATAGAAGATTCATTTGATAGTGATTCAAAACCAAATCAAGAGCTGAATGTTTCATTAGATAAATTATCTAAAGAAGCTCATGTTTTTAATGAATTGATTTCTACATTACAAATCCACATACTTAAATATAATAATAAAAATTACATTAATGAAGAAAACCTTTTTGAAAATACTATTAATATCAATCAAGAAATAGATAAAAAATATGATGAAGTGAATTTTAATAATTCATGTGAAGATGAATTATTCTTTGGAATTTCTGATGACAAATCATTAGAAGTTGAAAATACATGTAATAACAATGAAATTTATGATACAGCTCACAATGCAAATTTAATAATGGAACTTAGGGTAGCACTTCAAGGTAAGCAAATAGAATGGCAAGAGAGGGAATCTAATTTATTAAAAAAACATCCAGAGCTAAGTAAAAATGTATCTCATGATGAAAGTACTGATTCTGAAGAATATGAAGCAAAGCATAGTATTCGTAAAGTAGCCAGAGATTTTCCATTGGAAAATGTATTTCCTATGGCTTTACCTATCCAAAATTTTGCTAATGATATTGCAAGTATTGCATCTACATGGAACAATATAGCTGTTGAAAGCTTTGGAAATGATTCTGATACAGAATCAGAATCAGTATCTGACCAATAAAATATTTATAAATGAAAAAAGTTATGTTGGACAATAGAATTTATAATACCTTTTGATAAAAAGGTATGAAGATAAGTTTTTTTTGGGTACTTTAAAAATTACATCAAATACACTTCTAGGTTTACATATGAAGTATAAATTTTAATTAGAGATGAAAAAAGTGGTGTACAAGAATTTCAAACTTTTATGCTCAGTATACAAAAAAAAAAATATCTTATAGAAATTATTTGGAACTATAATTTTTGTTATTTCATAAAATATTTTTTACTGATTTTTATAAAAATTCCTATTTTATGAGTATTTCATTTATAAAATAGGTATAATCCCCAAAAAGTTATGTTAAATGGTCATTTTATCAAGGATTTCATATTAATTGTTAAAAACTATTAAATGCTTTATTATTTATATCATGTTTAACAGAAATATGTAATTTTTAAATTAAGAAACAATTAGAAAAAGTTAAAATTTTTATTTAGTGAAACAGGTAATGATAAAAATCAATGAACTAATATTTTATTTGTTCGTAAAATGATGTTCGGAATAATAACTTAACCTAAACATCGTTAGAATTAGAATTTTTTTTTTTTTATTAGCACAAAATATTTATATAATAACTAATTACAGCACAATAATAGTAGAATAAATATTTGAACCCTGTATGGGGTGAACAATAACAAGATTATAGACTAAGTAAATTGTGACATATGTCAATAATACAGTTAATATTGTTTAATTTAATTAAAACATAAATAAATTTACAAAATACTTAATTTGGCTGTACATATTTGTAACAGCTATATAAAATAAATGAGTGTTCATGTTTACATCCAATATGTGTATGAAAATAGATGACACATCCATATATTTTAAAACTTTAATCAATAATTGAGGTAATTTCCAAAGAAATAGAATTTTTTATATTAATTTAAACAATTTTTGTATAATAATAATTTAAAAATTCAATAAAACTAAGTAATGTGTGATATAGAACACACACATTTATTTGTCAAATACTATAAAATACGATCAGGAGTTTTAACAAGTGTCATAGATTATTTAATACTCAACAATTATTTTTTGGTTGCCAAATGGTTTGGTGCATCGGCAAATGTAAATTTTAATCGATATGCTTCTGCAACAAGTAAACTTATATCAGCATCAGTCCATTTTTGCGTTGGAAGATTTTGCAGCATAAGCATTAGTCCCTGTAATAATTTTATTAATATATTAATTTATATATATAACTGAAATCAAAGATATTGTTTTTTTACTAAATGTATATTAAGATAAATTAACTACAATACAACGTATTCTCGAAAATATTGGTGAACCAACTAGTGCTCTATGTGGAAGTGAATTTAGAAGAATACCAGTGCGGTTTTCGGAAAGGGAGATCAACGATAGAACAGCTGTCAGAAATTGGCTAAATAATAAAAAAAATATGAATACAGCAAAACATTTGGCAGTTATTTATTATCTTTAAGAAAGTTTATGACAGAGTACATTGGGAGAGTTTATATAATATAATAGATGAAGTTTATAGGTCTAAAATATGTATAGAAAATACACAATATCAAATAAGTGTAGATAATACAATATCAGAAGAATTTGAAATAAAGATGGATCTGAAGTAGGGAGATGTACTGTCTTCAATGTTATTTAATTTAGTATAAGAGAAAACAAGTAGAAATATGCAGAAAGAGCCAACAAGTGTGACAAAAGAAAAGTGTAAAATTCAGGTGTTTGGGTTTGCGGACAAATAAAATATTTTAAGAATTTCATTAATAACACCAAAACAGCTGCCCAAGTCTTGAAACAAGACTTGGGTGCTATCAAATGCAACAATAATTTGTTTCAAGCAACCATAAAGTATTATTGGTATTTACTAAAATTTAATTGTTTTTACTATCATAAGTAACACATGGATAACACAAATTCTTATTAAAAATTATTAATGTAACAACATCAAATATTATATATTATATTAACTCACATGTCTATACACTAGTAAATATATAATATAATAAGTATATATTAATGGCTTTTAGTGTGAAAAAAGCACATTATTAGAAGTTTTATATCTAAAAATATATTGGCGTGATATGGTTCTAAAATGACATTTTTAATAATTTTAAATGATAATTCTTGTAAGTCCATAATTTCATTACTTGAAAATCTTTTTCTTCTAACAATTCTTGACGCCAATTTAAAAGAAATGCTGCACAAACATACAGTTGAAATGTCGCAAAGCAATCTGATTCAGCTAAGTATGTATCCCACAGTCTTATAGAACATCGTAATGGCAACTCACGTGTTAATAAATTATTCATCCATCTAAATGAAAACTGTAAGTAGTCAATGCCATGTTTCATAAGATGATCATGCAAAGTTCCTATTATAAAAATGCAATGTTAAAAATAAGTCCGGTTGGTCCGGTGACGGACTAACTACCCGTCCCGGAGTATAAATGGTTAAGAAAACCTCCTCCTAGGGGAGATCGCTATGGCCTTTAATGGACTAATAAAAGTAATAAAAAAATATAAAAAAAATGTTAATTTAATAAATTAATGTCATACTATCAATTCTTTGTATAAGCTCTTTTAATTGATTGACTTTTTGTTGAATACCAAGTTGAGCAAAAATGTAATTATCTTGAATTCCATCTAAAAATTTTGATAGACACCAAAATGAATCAGCTTCTAAAGCATCACGATGCTCTTTAGGGATTGAACTAACATCTAGTGTTTCAATATTGACACCTTTTTAATAAAATAATACACATATAAATTAATATATATATATTTTAAATATGCTTTAAAAATGTTTAATCTATTGCAATATCTAAACATAATACCACAGCAATTAAAACTGAAGGTTATATTAAACAAAATGTAATTTTTGATAAAAATAATATATAAATGGGAAAACAGGTAACACTAAGACCACAAAACACTGTAATAAACAAACGCCGTTTTTCTCTTTTAAAATAAAAAAGCAGAGATTAAGAACGTAATTTTTTCAAATTTTACATTTTGCTTAATATAACCATCAGTTTGAATTGTTGTGATATTATGTTTAGATATTGTAATATATTAAACATTTTTAAAGCATATTTAAAAAAACAAAATTAATTTTAATTTATTTTTGATTGATTCATGGATTTTTGAACAATATTTTCGTAAATTACGTAACATTCACATATGCCGAAAGAAGGTTGAAAATTTGATTTATAGATTTGCGTCACTTATATTATAAACCATGCTACATACAACAAAAAAGATAAAACTAAATGTTTGCTATAAAAATTAATCTATCAAAAAAGCCATATCTATAATATTTAGGTATAAAAATGAAAAATGTAACATATTTTTATCTTAACCGTTGAAATTGATTTTATTTGTTTATTCTTATATTGCTGATGTATAGAAAATGTTTCTAACTTGTATGTCATACTATTTGACAAACAATAAAAAGATTTGTATGAAAGTTATTTAGAATTTAATTTTTTCTTATTTTGGTTGTGCGTTTTTTTTACCAAACACAATTCAAATGTTTAAGAATTAATACAGAAAAACATTTTTTTTACAAATATAGAACAAAGATACACTAAATAAATTGATTAAGTTTAATTAAGTAGAAGTTATAAAATAATAACAGATTTATAATAAAATAGTATTATTAAAAAAAATGGAAAAGTAAATGTACATATTTAAAAAATGTTAGATATTAACATTGCTTTTTTACAGTCTGGGAAATTTTTTCAAATATATAACTTATAGAGGCTACTACTTTTTATGACATTTATCATATGTGATAATGTTGTTGTAATCTTCTATGAATTTTGTCAGTTAAATTATTTGTAACAGGCATAAATTTTACTAATAACAAAAAACATTACTTTCATTACTTGCCTATTTAGATATATTTCATTTAAAAATTCTATATTAATAGCAAAACAGTTGGCACAAATTCTCACTTATAAACTGTTAAACCATATAACTTAACTATCAATTTATTTAATTGTATTTTGTATTAAATTGTTTGGTAAAAAAAATAAAACACATAACAAAAATAATAAAAAACTAAATTATAAACAACTTTTATACAAATCTTTTTTTTGTATGTCAAATAGTTTGTTAGCAATATTTAAATAAAATAATATGGTCAATAGTTAAGATAAAAATATGTTGTTTCTATGTCTAAGTATTGTAGATTTGGCTTTTTTTATAACAATTTTTATGAAAAACATTTAGTTCTATAAATATAGTTTATATAATTTCTTTGTATAGCATAGTTTTTAAGGCAAGTATTGCAAATTGAAAGATTACACTTACTGTCAAATTTTTAACCCTCTTGCGGCAAATATTAACGTTACTCATTTTCCACCAAATTTTGTGCAAATTATTTTTTAACCTAATAAAATTATTCAAGGGGAGGTGTATTGAAGGAATATCAAAAGTTATTTTTTAAGAACTATCCTAATATACATATATCTAGATGTATATAAATATATATATTTTAATAATTTGATAAGTAAATACAAAGATCTCTTTAGGCTCTTTTTTAAAAAAATGTTGATAATCTAAAATTGATTCCTAATGTAACTTCTGTTTTCACAAACTATAGTTTTAATTTTTAGGAAAAAACTCCATTGAAAAATATAATAAAATTTCAAGAAAATAAATGTTTGATTATCTCTTTAGAGTTCTATCATTTTATTAAAAAATAATGTATCATTTATACTAAAGTATATACAAAATATAAATAAGTATTTTGTCCATTTTTTTAATTTCTATTTTATAATTTTATAATCAAACATAGTAAATCAATAAATTGTATGAATACCATGAAAAAAAATTATCACGATAAATGATAATTGTTGATAAAAAAAAGCGTTATAATTACTCAAAATTTTAATTTGTATATTTCTATTTGGGTTTATTATATATTGTATTGTTATACATTGTAATTTTTAAACTTGAATTTTTTTAAAAAACCTATCATATTTAGCATTACTGAAACTCAATACTACAATTGTACAAATGTTCTTAAATTTACTAATAAAATTGATTCATACCTAATGATAAATATTCTTGTAGAAAAACTACATAAAAAGGTGTGACTAAGTCATTCATTCCTTGAACATAACCAGATGCTGGATGTCTAATAGCCCAAATAAATAATATCCTCTCAAACATTTCTTGGACAGTTTTTTGTTGAAACAAAGGTGTACTCATACGTGGAATATCTATGTGAATCTAAATTTAACTTTTATTAGTTTTTTTAAAATAATTATATGAAGTGAAATATACTAACTATACCTGTCTATATGTATCTTTATACACTTCATCTTTATCAGTATCATAATATTTTTTTACAAGATTTATGTAATCTACACGTTTTCTTATAAGAGCTTGTTCCCTTCGTTCAGAACTAGTGGGTAAATAACCCTAAAAAAATATAATATTAGTAAACATAATTTTACAACTTATGTAATTTTTAAATAAAAATATACTGCTAGTAATCGCCAAGTCATTGGACGAACTTCAACAGGAACACCAGACCAGCTTAACTTTTTCAGTTCTTCTAAGTGTAATAGATTACCATTTATTAATGTTTGAAATTTGGTAAGCTTGTTAGTATCAACATCAGAGTCTTAAACAAATTATTATTAATTGTTAAACAAACAACAATTAACACTTTTTAAATATTTAATTTATCAAAGGTGTTTTGTAAAATAGGAATATAGCAACTGACTTTTTTTTTTAAATACACACTTTTTATATAACATTGTTAACATATTCATCTTTTTCCTCACCTTTATCCCAACTATTTGAGATTGACCACCTCTTTTTTTTTTACTCTTTACAATACTACTGGTGTTATTGTAGGTCACCCAGGAACTGCAGTTAGACATTACTTCAGAGCAGTCAACGCCATCTTTATAACTCACAACACAACTTGTTTTACCCTGTTAGCTAAACCTAAAAGTCGAGTCTATTACTAGTACATCACATGAAGGTAGAGGTAGAAATTTGCTAAGTTCAGGGCTTTATAACTCACAAAAAAACAAGCAAATATAAAATATATAGGGCCCATAATAATTTTCACATTTTGTTTATAAATAACTTCTGTTCAAAAAAAGGTAGGGGAACGGTAAATTCGGTTCCAAATAGCTAGACGATGCCTAATTATGTTTCATTGCGATTTTATCATAATGGAGTAGCGGACGGGTGCTCAGCATGCGTTTATTGTAAAAGCTTATTATAAGAATAATGACTCTTACGTGAGTGCAATTCGAGAGTTTCATAAAAATTTTAATCTTGATGGAAAAAGTGCTGTTCTATCGCGACTAATGGTGAATTTATGGATAAAAAAACTTTGAGGAAAGTGGTGATGTGTGTAAAAAAACACCGAGTGGATGGGTGTCGCCCAATATTGTGTTGTGGGGCCATACGTGTTTGATGGAACAGTTAACGGCGAGCGCTATCGTTTGATGTTGAATGAGTTTCTGGTACCCAAAACATAGACGTAAATTATCAGCTACCTGGTTCCAGCAAGACGGGGCAACCTGCCATTCCGCAAAAGAAAAGATTGAACTGTTGCAAAAACATTTCCGCCATAGACTGGTTTCGCGGAACACTGAAATTTGTTGGCCGCCTTAGGTCACCTGACTTATTTTCTATGGGGATATTTGAAATCCAAAGTCTATGCGGATAAGCCCAGGACTTTGGAACAACATTATTCGATAATCGGGCCTTTTTGAAACAGATATGCTGGTGAAGGTGTTCAAAAACTTAAAAATACGTCTGTTTGAATGTATAAAAAATGAGGCTAATCATCTGCAAGGAATAATTTTTAAGACCTAAATTGTAAAAATAATTTAAATATACTATCTAAAAACGGCATGTTTCTACTTTATTTTAGTACTTAAATTATCTCTGTACATGCATTTTCGCCGGGTTATTAAAAAAACAAATGTGAAAGGTTATTATGGGCCACTCTGTATATATATATCATCCTAAGGCATGACCACTTCAGTGAAAATCTGGACGAGAGATCACTACTCCCAGCTCTCTAACATCAAGTCCACTATGAACACAACTAAGAATGTGGACCTCAGTTGGGACTTCAAGAAGTCCGGTTTCTGGGCTTCGCACCAAAAGAGGATGTGCATTGTCTGCCTCTTAGGTGATCCAAATAGAGGTTGCACAATGGTCATGGCTGCTTTACGAATACTGTGAGGTACTCGTTAAAGCAGACATTACTTGCATGAGACGATATATCATCTAACTGTGTGCCCAAACCACACACCTATCTAACTGGTCAAATACGATAAGGGACCTGATCTACTTGCCTCTTATCTCCTATGAGAGGTGAGTCTGGCATCGGAGCATGGTCATTCGTCAGAAAGACAACTAATTCTCAGGATTGAGGGACCGGCCATGTCTTGGAAAAGCTCATGCCTAGCAAACTTCTCGACCAACAAGATGTGTGGCAGCAACAATAGAATGCTTGCCACTACTCCAAGCATCATTTGATAAGCCAATATTATACGGATTGCTGTCTTCCCAAGAACTATCAGCAAGGCTACTCAGTTTTTTGAATAATCAAGAGATTCCACGCAAACTTGGGGACATGTACAGTAGAACTAAATGCACAACTAACAGTCTGTGCTGCAACTCTCCTGGTTCCCCTATTTTCGGCAAAAGATCTGGGCCACACATCATTTGTGTCACTCAAACATTAGACGTTTATTCATGACGAGGCCCAGGTAATTTATTGAATCTTTTATCCACCCCCAGGACCATTTCAGTATTATCCGAAACCAATCGGAAAGCTAAGTTCACCACACCCTACTGCTAGATCCAGGAAGTAGGTATAATGCACCCACTATTTACCTGAGATCCAACCTCCTCCATCTAAAATTCTGTCTCATTTATTTAACAAAGTCTCACTAGTCTTCATCGTTTATTGTCATTACTTTAAATTGTTAATAGTTACTGAAATATTTGTCTTTTTCTTAATTAGATCATTTTCTATTTCATGAGTTAGTTTCATATGTATGTTACCATTAAAATAAATAAAGTTCATACTCTTATAAGATATAAGGGATGAACATAAAAATTATTTTATAAAAGAGAAATTAAAATAATGTAACTAATAAAAAACAAAAAAAAAAAAATGTACAAAAAACTATAGTAAAAAATCATTATAATAAAAAATATTTTCTTGAAACTCAGCAAGTATTAGTATTAATACTTAAGTATTTGGACAAATAATAATAATAATTAGAGGATATAGCCTTAAAATAAAAAAATAATAAAATACTTACTTGAAAACTCAATTTTACTTTGTGCATTACGAGATTCTTTACTTTTACATAAGCTAGATATTTCTTGTTCTAAATAGGGCAAATAAAAATGATTAGGAAACTATAATTTATAAATTCCCAAAAACAGTTTATTATTTTAATTTTCAAAAGAAAGAGAACTAAATAATATATGTTATTTATTAAAGATAGAAAAATTACTATGTTATATCTACCAAGAATGAACTGAGATCAAAAGCCTAAGCAGGAATGCTTTTTAGAAGCCTTTTTATGAACTTAATGGATTTCTAAAATAAAATCTATGTATCATAATTTTTTTTAATTAAAAAGTAAAATTCCAAGTTATAATAATAAAAATCATCCTGTTTTTCCCATAAAATGAAAACATTTTAACTATAATTAATTAGAAGGCATTACTTAACTGTTTGGTTACATATGTCTAATGAAGTGAGCACCATTATCCTTTTCTATATATCTCTGCCTAATTACATATATACAGTTACTATTTTCCAGGTTTTTAATAAAAATGTTTACCTTCATACACACATTAAAAATAAAGCATATAACTCTGAGAATGCCTTAATCTAAATCTGGTCCAGAACTACATCCTCTACACCTATACAAAGTAATTTTTCTAATATTAGCCAATTGATTTTTTTTTTAATAATAATTATATAAAGGAAATACTTTTTGTCTTCATTTAATTTTACATATTTCTTAATTTATTAATTATTAGTTATTTTTTGTAATTTATCCCTTATCCCTAATAAGGGTGTCCACTATATTTTTATAAAGTGCAACATATATATTTAACTAGCTATTAAATAAAAAAATAATCTAATTAAAAAAACTTTTGATACATAATTGAACAATTTTTTAAAATAGAACTTCTGAAAAAACAGGTCAAAAGTTTTTGTTGGCCAGTAGTTTTTTTATTTAAATAATTTTTTATTGATAAACTAGTTAAATATGAATGTTGCTGTTAAACAAAATAAAGTTGACACCCCTATATGTTATAAGGGAAGAATTTAAAATACTTAATAAGTTGATAAATCAAAAAATACATGAAAATAAAAAATAACAAAAATAATATACTTGACATAACCATTATTTTAAGATAAATGGAATGGCTAATATTAAAAGGATTACTCTGTATAAAATTTAATATATTTATACTTAGTACCAAATAACTTGTGAACAAAAACTAAATCTTAATTAATTAAAGTGGATTGTATGTTATAAAAATATATTATTAATTGTATAGAAACAATGCATTTAAATGAGTTTTGTGTGAGAAATATTATTAAAACAAAGCCTCAATTAAAAATCTAAATAATAAGAACTTACTTTCAGAATTAAAATTTGTAGGTTTATGAATTTCTTCAATTGACGCTTTATGATTATTTATAACATTAACTGCAGCTGAATGGGCTACACGTTTTGATATCTTAACATCTAGATAAATAAAATTAATGTTACATATTAAGATGAATTGGTATGAAGATAAGTTGAAATTAACAGTCTAATAATGAAAATCTTAAATTTTTCTAGATATAAATTAAAATAGAGTTATATTTTGTCAAATACCTGATAAGCGTAAAATTTCATCTTCTGCTTCTATTTCCCATGCATCATTGACGCTTTCTTGAAAATCATCAAAAGAAGTAGAACCAGAAGAGGATGCCGATTTATTATCCTTTCTTGGGCTTGCTCTATAATTATGAAAAATTATTTTTTTGAACACTATTGTGGTTTTAAGTGTTTTTTTAAAATAATATCTTACCTGCCAGGAAGATTAATAATATTTTTTTTCCAAAACGAATTTTTATAGTTCATATCATTATTATCACCTGATAATTTTTGAGCTTGATCACTCATTTTAATAAGAACTGTAATTCACGTAAGTATTTTCTGTCCAACCTAACCAGTACATCATATAAATTTACTTACATTGTAGGTTTAACATTACTCGATCTAAAACTACAAGATCATGAATATTAAAATGGTTTCTAAACTGGTCTGTCGATACATTATTAAACAAATATTAAACAAAAAATTTGAAAAATTACGATTTTGTAACAAGAAAATGAGTTTTATATTAAGATAACTTGTAACAATTAATTTAGAGTAAAACTTTAGCACCATTAGAGAAAAACACTATGGGAAATTTTCACAACAATCCAAGGTTCCAAGTGGATACGTCGGCGAATAACAGTAGTGATAAACGGTACATGTTATAAGGTGTATTTTAACGTTATCACTTGGTTCTTACTTCATATAATTCTAACACAGTCTAGTGATGTTCACAATATTGGTAAAATGTTAAATTTTGAAGCGCAGGAGTATTACGCCATTACTAGTAATTATTGATAATACCTATTGCCATTCACGCCACGGATCCAAATGTTTTGTTTATTAAACTCTAAATACTGATAAGTAAAAGAACCGTTATCGTTTAACACAGACTTACTGTACTGTAAATATTTTGTCGCTGTGCAGCAGACTAAAATATACGCATAGATTATTATGTTCTATTTTTTGTAATTTAACTACAGTATATGGTACACGTATTACGAGGAATGTTACAGAATTATATTTAGTGATCAATATTATTAACTGTGCTCTAATTGGAAATGATTAATTATAGGAACTTTGTCATATTTAAAAATTAGACGAATTATTTCAGTACAAAGGCGCTGATCTAGTTGACGATATTTTTTGGGGGGAGGGAGAGGTTTTACTATTTAGTTTAAGTGAGAGCTATTTTTCAAAAAATTATTTAAAAAAAAGAAGAACTTAAAAAAATAATAATTTTGTGGCAAAAATTGCACCTATGGCTTTTCTTCGGCGTCTACTCCTTCATTGTTGTCTGATCTCTTATAATCATAAACTAATACATGTATAAGTCTATGTTTATAATTTATTTAAAAGTAATAAATACTTATAAAAAAACTTTTTTTTTCAAATTAATAAATTTAATAATAAAAAAATTAAATTTTTTTTTTTCATTTGTACATTTTCTAGTTAAATATCGTGTAGTAAATATCTAGTGATATCGATGTATTAAAAATGTATGTTACATCCAAATTTTCATTTTCATTATGTTAAAAAATTATATTTTATAAATCATCACTGGAGGTTCATAAGTAATTTTTTAGTGTAATTAATAGTTATGTTGAATGGAATAGGTTATGTAATTTTAAGATTTAGAAATTATTCGTAATATGGTAGTATATAATAAAAAATAACAGAACATAAAATATAAGAGATGTACAACGGCAACGGATCGTTAAACTCGATAGACGGTGAACAGCAATTAAATCTTAAGCATTTATACAAAAGGCTGTATTGAATAACACGACATAACCGAGAAAAGAATGTTGCCCATTTTGATCTTGATCTAATAATAACATGAGTGAAAATACAATTTAAATTGTTATTTTAAATACACTAAAATAACACACGGGCTGAAAAGTCCCGGGCCTAACAAAGAAAACACGGTTATTTCATTAAAAATTGTCTTTATTCATCAACATAATCTCCACCAAGAGCAACACAATCATTTCAGCGCCGTTCTAACATTTAAATTACGTTCTTGTAGAATGATTTATCTTTTGCCTCAAAATAGGCCTCAGTTTCACCGATAACCTCTTCAATCGAGCGAAATTTTTTGCCGGCGAGCATTTTTATTAAATCTGCAAATAGCCAGTAATCGCTGGGAGCCAAATCTGGAGAATATGGTGGATGAGGAAGCAATTCGATCTTTAATTCACGTAGTTTTTCAAATGTGTTTTTTGATTTGTGACACGGTGCGTTGTCTTGATGAAACAAAAATTTTTTTTTTGCCATATGCGGTCGTTTATTTGTGATTTCGGCCTTTAAACGCTCCAATAACGCTATACAATATTGACTGTTAATTGTATTTCCCTTCTCAAGGTAGTCGATGAATATTATACCTTGCTTATCCCAAAATACTGAGGCCATTACCTTTCCAGCTGACTGTTATGCTTTCGGGCGCTTTGGACGAAGTTCCCCGGCTGCTGTCCACTCAGATGACGATCGTTTTGATTCAGGAGTGAAGTGATGGATCCATGTTTCATCCATAGTGATGTATCGACGCAAAAATTCCGGTTTATTACGTTTGAACATGACCGAACATTGCTTAGAATCATCAACACGTTGTTGTTTTTGCTTAACAGTGAGCAAACGCGGCACCCACCCACTTTGAACAGAGCTTTCGCATGGACAAATGTTCATGCAATATAAAGCTTACACGTTCTTTTGATATCTTTATGATGTCAGCTAACTCACGCAACTTTATTTTACGATCATTCAAAACAATTTTGTGAATTTTTTCAATATTTTCTGGGGTTACTGCCTCATTTGGACGTCCACTACGTTCTGCATTATCTGTGTCTCTACGACCACGTTTGAATTCAGAATACCAACGTTTTATTGTTGTATCTGATGGAGCAGAGCCCCCGTAACACTTCTCAAGCCATTTCTTTGCTGAACGGTATTTTTTCCCATCAAGAAGCAATGTAAAATTAATACACGAAATTGTTTTTGATCCATTTTTGAAAATTACAAAAGTAGCTTCACTCTAAACACAATAGCTTACACACTAATGAACAGATTGTCATGAAAGTTTAACAGCTGACTTTTGTAGGTTAGTACCAACTAAAAATGAGATTAATTCCAAAAAAATAGCGTCCTCTGTGTGTTAGGCCCGGGACTTTTCAGTCCATGTGTTAATATTACTGTACCCCAGTGTGTTGTTTAATAATATTAGCACTTCCCCTTAAACAATACACATGTACATAGTTAATTATAAAAAATTATTAAAAAAAAAATTATACATCTAATTCCTAACATTTCTCCGAGTTCTTTTTTGTAGTGATTGCTTTGTCGATATGTCAGCTAACTACTATTTGCTGGTCACATACTAAATATCCCTTCATTGAATTTTTCACTAATATAATGACAACGAACATCTAAATGTTTTAGTTCATTTATGGATTATTAGTTACGTCACCAATTTGATGGGACTTTGTTTTTGTCCGCATACAAAACAGTTGTCTTTTCTTGTGTTTTCAGAAAATCACTTGTTTATATCGTCAACCAAGTTAGTTCCTGAATCACTTGACTAATGGCTATGCATTCAGCCTTAGTAATTGAAAATGTTAGCGATTTTTGACTTTGAACACCATGCTATTATTTCATTTGTAATCATGAAAATATATCCTGTTGTTGGACGCCTAATTCTTGTATCACCAGCATAGTCTGTATTACTATAACCATATAACGCCCTAAAATCAAAAAATTTTATAGTTATAGGTTCCCTTTAAATATTTTAAGATACGTTTCACCGAATTCCAATGTATTATCAGAGGCTTATCTAAATAGCGACTGACAAAATTTATTATTATTTATTGCTGCTATGATCCCATTGTCTACAAAAAATCTACAATCATTAATTGTTTATTTTCATTTTTTACAAAACACACAGGGATCTACCTTTGTTTCTTTTAGATCAAAGTTTATCAACGCTTTATTCCAACGTCTGGGTTCTTGTTTCAATCCATACAAATTTCTTTGTAGTTTGGACACTTGTTTAGTTCCATTTCATATCATTTGGCTGGTCCATGTGAATCTCTTCTTCAATATCACCATATAAAAGAACTGTTTTAATATAAAATTGTCTCATTTTTAATTTTATAGCATTGCTAATGCTAGTAATACTCGTATAGAGTCATAATTTACAACTGGTTGGAAATAAATTCCATACACTTGTGCAGTAAGTTGATTATAAAGCATAAGTTCAGACTAAAGGTATATATAACAATCAATTTTATATTACAAACATATTTAAAAGAAATTGATAAAAAAGATCTATATAAGCCAAACATAATAATAACTAACGTAATATTAAAATAAAAAGATAAACTAACCCAATCATTCATATATGAAAACTATAACGTGTATTAAAAAGGAAAATTGATTTAAATATTTATATTCACAAAAATGAGATAATACCCTTATTTAAAACATGAGTGTGGACATACATTGTCATACAAAATAATATCCCTGGATTCTTGTGACCAAGTACTTTCGTTGAAAATAAACATTTTTGAAAATCGGAGCACACTAAGTAATTTTTGCAGTAAAGTGTTTTTACTTTGTTTTATTATATACGATTTTTACCGAGGTAAATTCCACTTCAACCCCTTCCCACCAGGCACAGGGAGAAATTATTTGCCTCGGACCCAATAAAACCTAGCGCCAGATTGTATAGCTAGATTTACATAAGGTTCATGTATATTTATAAATTTTTCAATTAAAATTCAAATTTGCTCAAAACCGGTGTTAGGGGTGTATGAAATGGCACACATATGAAGCTTTGGACTTTAAATGGCTCTGCAAATCCATATGATAATCAAAAAATAAATAAATAATTAGAGTTTTTATTATAAACAAAATATTAAAGCCCCAGTCGAGGCGCAACTAAAATGACAATTTTTTAAAATTAATTTTTCCTATCCAAAAAATTTTTTTATTCAACAGTAAAAATAATTTTCTAAATTATTGAGGACGTTAGTTTAGGAATGCTACAACTCTCTATTGTTACTCCGTTGGATTTTAAATGCACTTATCCACTTTTTTGCATTGATAACAAAATAATTTGTACATAAAGTATAGGAAAAAAAATGTTATAACACTAATTAGTTGCTACCTTAAAAAAGGTAGCAACTAATTAGGGTTATAACCCCTCGATTGATTCCATAGGGGTATGACTTCTTGGGTAGTCTTACCTGCGGTTGAGTTGAGAAAGTCGAAAGAGAGATAAATGGTTAACTTTACTCAATATAATTTGACACTCGTGTGTAAACCTAATTAGTTGTTTTTTATTGATTTACAATCACTTATAAGTTCATTATTTTTGATAGAGTTATAATTTAGTTAACATAGAATCAGTAGTCTGGATATTTAAGTTTATAATGTTAAAATACGACTGAACTAAATTTGTATACATAAGTCGTGCTGATCTGCAATGTGCAATGTTACAACCAGTAAGACTGTTATGGTTATTACATTAGTGTTTTCAGCGAATACAAACAATATGGATCCACCTTGCGCAATATAGGGCTGTTAGCGATCTATTTTATAATTTATATCTATGACATTGATTAGTGAGGCAATCACCATTACAGATAAGATTAGATTATAGATATGTTTCATCTATATTTGTGGTAGCAACCCAAATGATATCAAATAAGGTGATAAATCCTATACTCAAGTTTTCATTATTTATCACTATAATATTGTGATAACTAGTATACTTTTTTTGTTAATTTATAAGTTTTTTTGTTACATGTACAGTTACATTTTGAACTATTTTTCTTCTATTCCTAAATTCTAAAGTTTTTTCAGTTATGTTTCCATTTTAATGTATTTTTGAATTCTTATAGTTAAATCTTGAAGAGTCTCATAATTTAAACCGTTACATTCACAAGTGTATTGTGTTCAGGTTTTGAGTATTGATCAGACAGCTTTTTAAAACTTATGTTTTACATGGAACTTGGTTGTCCAGAAATTATGACATATTATTAGTTTTGTAATGGATAATGTGAATGAAAAACGAGTAATATACAAATTAAAAGAATCAATGGCGAATAGAAAACAAAAACAAGATTCGGAGGTTTGATAAAATGTTTGCATACTATTGCATAATTTGATATTTTAGTTTTAATAAACAAAATTATCTTTCATTTTAGGAGGAGTCCGACTGTCCAGATTTAGAATATAATTACGGTGATACTGATACACATCTAAGTGAAATGTCTGAATTGTATAGCTACTCAGAATTGGAAGATTTTCAACTCAATATAAAAGTGAGTTAAAACATGTATACCTTATTTTGTAAATTTCTATAAATTATAAATTAGGTTTGAGTAATTGCGTGTATATTAGATTGTTTACATAAAATTTATAATACAAGAAAATTGTATAAAAAGTATACAGAATAACTAGTTCTTTGTATACTTGTTATGTTACATATTCTTTTGAAAGGAACCAGCTTTAATGCATAGCTCAGAAGCTAAAAAAATTACAGATTTTGAAATATTTTGCATAGCAACAGAACATATACATAAATGTCATAACATTTTACATACTCATGAATTTAATTTTTTAAGGAATGGATTTTTTTTATAAAATTGAAGTTTTGTAATAATAAAAAAATTACTTCTAGGAATTTGAAAAAGTTATGAAATCTTTAAATTATAATCCATCATGGCATACTTTAAACACTAATGACAAAAGAGTTGTGATGGCTAAACTATTTGATTATCTTGAGATGTCTGATAAAACCAAAAGAATGAATGCTGCAAGGTGTATATTGTATTTGATTCAGGTAAGTTAACCATACTTATACTTTCGATCTTATTTCAATCATTATTTTAATTTAAAGGGATGTTGGGCTGAATGCCAATCAGACAAAGATCAACAGTCAAACGCTAAAGAAAATATACTTTTCTTATACAAATTTGACATTTACAATATGTTTGTTAAATTTTTAAATATAGAAATAGAGTAATACATTTTCTTTAAGCTAAGATTATTATTAAACACAAATCTATTTGTAATTTTTATGTTAATTCCTATAGATCATCAGTTCAACCTCATAAAAAAACTCACGTTAATTGTACAGATTCAGAAAATTTGAAAATAATTTTAAACGTTCTATATACATTTATTGAAATATTACGTATTTCAGAATTTGAACCTGGAAATGAATTTAAGGAATTCAGAGAAAACTTATTGTCAGATATTGGTAGAAACTTTTATGAATAAAATTCGAAAATTAATTTATTATGCGCATGTATCATAATTTATTTAATCTATTAGGTTTACCACATACTGAAGATCATATTATTGTCAAGTTATTAGGAATGATAACAAGATTTTGTAGTGGAATGGCTTCATACTATCCAATGAAGAAAGTTTTATTACTTTTATGGAAATTAATATTGGTTTTACTTGGTGGAATGGAAAATTTAGCTAAATTAAAAAGTTGTTTAAATATTTCAACATTATTATTTTCCTATGAAAACATTTTTAATATAAATATTATTAATAGATGAATATCGCAGAAAAGCAAATTTAACTGAAATCCAAGAGGATTCAATTAAAATAATTAAGTCAATGAGATCCTCATCACCACCTCCTAGTTCAACTGACATTATGAATGCACCTAAAAGGGGCGTACGTCAAAAACGAGTAAGAATTTTTGTATTTGTAGTTATTCATAATATTTATATTTAATTTTGATTTGTATTTTTACATATAATTAATATAGTAAAATAAATATTTTACTGATAAAATTCAATTTACTATTTAAAAATGTATTTAAATAAATTGTACTTAATATTATGACTGGTGTAAATAAGTTTTTGGCATCAAACTTTGTTGACAAATTTGCATTATTATTATTTTTAACAGTTAATAATAAGAAGATTGTTTATTATAAAAAAAGTTAATTAATAAGTTATTAAGGAAAATATTGATAGTTAAGTTTATATTAGAAATTGTTAATTGTTATTAACATTGTATAGATGCCGTTTAATTTAAAAACATTAACGTTTCATTGTACCACTGAATCTGATTTGTTAAATAGTGGTGAAGAGGTAAGATATAATGTGTGTCTGTGTGTGTGTGTATATATATATGAGATTTAAAAAGATAAAACTCTTTGATTTTCAAAAAAATGTAAATTTTATATAAAAATAAGTACAAATCTTTATCATATTATTCTAATAATATATAAACGTCTTCTCCTCTTTTAAATAAAAACTAACTGTTAAGATAACTTTAAAAATTAATTGATATCAAAATATAGATTTAAATTATAATCTTAAAAATTACTTTATAAAGAATAAATCCCACTTATATAGGTATATATATATATATATATAGAATGTAACTGTCTGACTTGTATAAAAATTAAAAATTTGTGATCCTGTGAATGTTTTGTCCTATTAGTGTCATATGCACAAATTACATTTTTTATTAATATCTCAGTAAAAAGAAAACTAAAAATTTTACTAATAAACTTTGAATAAAAATGGCACATATTTTGTAAACTATATATTTTATGCTTAATTGTATTAAAGTTGTGAATTAATTATATTTTGATCTTTTTAATCATGAATTTGTGTTATATTGCAATAAAGTTAGTCTGAAATCATTAATATTTTGTCTTAGGCAAATAGAAAATAAGCTTCATCGCCATATATGAATATTTTTTTCAAAGGCATTTATAGATATTTTTTTAGAATAATCCAACCTTTCTAATTATTAAAGAACCCTTTTATTATAATTATTTTTGCTTGGTATTTTATTTTTCAAAATTTAGCCTTTTTTTGGAAAATATATATATTGTGATGTACACTAAGATAAACAATATTTAAACCTAAGTAACTCAAAAAAAAATACATTTTATACACTGCAACAGTTATTGTGATATTTTTAAATAAATATTTAAATACTTGGATTTCCTTTTCTTAATGGGCATTTCATCTGGAAAACCCCTCTTGAGAACGTCTTTGTTGTTTCTTTATTTGAAAAGTTTTTTGTTTCACATTATAAATGCGCTTTGTCATTAATGTGTATAGCCGCTTTATGTAATATACATCTCTATGTAGCATTATTTTAATTTAAACTACTACCGGTGTATTAAATTTTTTTTAATTTAAAATTTTTATACAACATAAATTTTTAGGGCTTGGTTAAACAAAGTTCATTAGATGAATCGTTAACTGTCGTGGATTTATCATATCAAAATGATGAAGATTTTCAAGATTATGAAGATCAGCAAATGGGCATGGTTGATATTTCTAACATGAAAAATATTCCTGAACCAATTAATTTTAGACCACAAACACCACCAATGCCATTGGAATCTAAAGGTCTCCCATGGGTTCCCAAAGTTCGACAAAAAGACTTACAATTTTTTTTAGATCAAACTAGAATCAAATTTTTAGGCTTTAAATTAGAGAATGACATAGATACATTAATAGGACTTCCTGAACCTATTCATGAGAGTATTGCAATTTTAAAACAGGTAAGTTCATTGAATTATGTCACAATATAAGTATTCAAAGTTAACCATAATCATTAATTAACACTATATTTTAATACCAAAAATTTATTTTCGGTAAAATTTTGATATTTATATAATCCTCTAAACTTAAAATAATTTAATTATTATGTATGCATGTTGCCATATAATACATTAAAGTTTACATCTTTATATAAAATTTGATATATCACTGTATAAATAATTCAAATATAATATTATAATAATCATTAGGTTACCAACTATCAATAAATGTTGATGTTGCAATTAAAACCGGGATCATAATCTTAATGTTTACAGGAAAGATGTAACTATGTTTTGTCATCTCAGTTTCAGCTATAATCTTCTTCTAGCCCATGCTTCTTATTTGCTCTCAACTTCTTTATTTAAAAAAATTATAAAAATAAATAGAATAAATTCAAACTGTACATTAACCCTATTGATGAATGATTTGACAATTAAATAATTAAAATTCAACTATGTATTGATCATAAGCTATTTAAACTTATTGGGGACCTGGCTATTGTGATCAGTTGATTCTAATACATACTTCAATATTCATTTTCAAACATCAGTCCAGTATTCTGTTATCACTGTTCAAATTTCAACCTTACGTCAGGAGTTTGCTTGTTTATTTTTGACACCTTTTCCTATCTTGTATCCACTCATACTTAACTGAAGTAGTCTTTGTTTGCACATTATACTTTGACGTTTCTCTCTTATTTTTGTTATAACAACAGCTCTTTATTCCCTTGAAAATACCGAAGTGTCAGCTAATTATACTGTGACTGCCAACATTTACATGCATACACGTATAGTAATTTCTATTCTTTTGTCTTGCGACAATTGTCTCTCTGTTTCCACTGATAGAGCCACGTTAACTAACTTTTTGAATTGTATGATATACACTCTCTTTTTCCTCTATTAATCCTCAATTTCAAAAATATTTCATTCTCTCTTATCATTGCTCTTGAGTGCAGGTCTTAAAATTTAACAATTAATATTTAATCTATAAATATTTATGCCATATCTTGGTGTTTTTGTATATGATTGAAATTGTTTGTTTAATGATTTTATATTGTATTTAATGTTATAGTAATAATCATATATAACTTTCTAATTTAATTGTTGAGCTATATATTTTTTTAATAAACACTATTTTTGTATTTTGTTAATTACATCGACCAGTCATTTTCTATTTTATAAGCTAGTATAATACATATGTTGCCTTTGAAAAAAGTCAGTTAACACCCTTATAAGATTTAAGGAATGGACCTAAAAATTACCTTATAACAGATATATGAAAATACATATGTAACTAACAAAAAATTTTTTCAAAAATCGTATTATTTGAAAAGCAATTGAGTGGCTAGTGTTAAAAGAATCACCTTGTATTAATTTGTTAGAATATCAAAATTTGCTTGTTGTGTAATGATTTATAAAACAAGATTTTTTTAAATTTAAGAATTTTTAACCCTGAAGGGATAAAAAAAAATGGTTTTACTGTGTGTTATTGTAAAGTTTTTTAAACATAATATATTTTCTCCTTACAAAAATGTTTAAGTCCCGATATTTTCATGAAAATGAGTGTTTTATCAAATTTAGATCACTTTTTATATGTCTAGTTATAACGAGTTTTTATTTTAGAAAATAAAAGCAAACATTTTTTTTCATATATATACTAATGAAAGTATATTTTTAATTTAAGAGAATATATTTTAATAAAACAATATTTTTAGCACATGTCACTGATTTTTTAAAGAAAATTTCAACTTTTTGAGTGAATAGTAGCATTACATTCGGATATTTTTAAAAATCCCTACCATGTACAGGTTTGGTTAGGTTAGGTTTAAACTCACATCCATATTATTTATATTGCTACATAATTTATTTATAATTAAAGAAAAATTTGTTTATTTATTTTTCTTACTTTATTTTGTGTGTAGTATATGTATACATCACTCGCTGATTATCAAATAATGAAAGAAGAAACTATTCAAAAGAATCCATTGACAATGGGTGAAAAATGTGTAGATCAAACTGCTACTGAAGTATTATATCAAGCAATGTTACCTAATTTGCCACAGCATATGATCGCTTTATTAAAAATATTATTAGCTGCTTCTCCAACATCAAAAGCTAAAAGTGATTCAATAAATATTATCTCAGATATTCTTCCAATTGATATGCCGTAAGTTTTTTTTTATAAATTATAGTGGTCACTTAAAAATTTGTACACATTCTTTTAGGATGTCATTTTCTGAATCTGTTAAGTTAGAAACTGATATAAACCGACAAAAAGAAATAGTTGTGAAAGCAATAAGTGGAATACTTATTTTGTTATTAAAACACTTAAAAGCAAATCACATATATCAATTTGAGTTTATATCTCAGCATTTAGTTTTTGCTAACTGTATTCCACTTGTTATAAAATTCTTAAATCAAAATCTTGTGTCTTATGTTTCTTCAAAAAATACGTGAGTTTTCACCATCTTGTAAATAATTAGAATATTAAGATCAACTTATTACATTAGAATTCCAATATTGGATTTTCCTACTTGCGTCATTGGTGATGGACCTGATTTATCATTAGATAATATAGAAATTGGAGAATTTCCTTTGTGTTCTTGGAGAAATATTTATTCATGCATTAATTTACTCAGAGTTTTAAATAAAATCACGAAATGGAAGCATTCTCGAATAATGGTTAGTACAACACAAAAAAAAATTTAATTATGAAATTATTACTATGATTTATAAAATTAACATCATTCCACAGATGCTCGTAATTTTTAAATCAGCACCAATTTTAAAAAAATCATTAAAAGTAAGACATGCAATGATGCAACTATATATTCTTAAATTGCTAAAAATGCAAGCTAAGTATCTTGGTCGAGCCTGGCGCAAATCAAATATGAAAATTATGAGTACTATATATCAAAAAGTTCGGCATAGGTTAAATGATGATTGGGCATATGGAAATGGTAAATTTATTTGCTTAATAAATAACATGTGTCTACAAAATATTGTTTCTAATTATTAAATTTGATATTTATTAAAATTATATTAACATTTTTGAATTTATTATAAATCTTTATAATTACTTATAGAAAGTAATTTCACAAAAAAAATGAATAAAAAAATATAAGATTACTAATTTAAAATTAATAGTTTTAAATTTTTAAGCTATTTATCAATTTTAACATATTGTACTACCTTAGAAGGTAGAGTCTAGTGATAATTTATTCAAAAATAGATATCCAACATCATATTCTTTTTAGCAGTGAAATATAAATATGACTATACTTAAGAAAAATTATCTTCATTGAAATTAAAACTAATTAGATTCTTTTAATTTGGATTATGTTTTAAATTTTAGATCTTGAAGCTCGCCCTACAGATTTCCAAATTGAAGAACGATTTTTAAGATCTGCTGTTGATAAATTTCATGCAAGACGTTACTCTCAGCAATTTGTATGTATAATTATAAAATGCAATGATTTTCTAATTCCTAATGTGTAAAATTTTTAATATCATTTTAGGATGACGAGTTTACACCGAGTGATTTCTATATCAACTCCGCTTTAGGTAAACCTGTTAAGTTATCTAATGAATTTAAGCATCATTATGAAATTTGGTTGGACCAAGAAGTATTTCAAAATAACATTGATTGGAATACATTATTCACATATTTAGATATTTAATTTTTGTAAGTTTCATAACATACATTATTATTGTATTTTACTATACATTGAAATATAAACTAAATATTTTTGATTTGCTGAATTCTTAAATTCTATGATTATAAATAAGCATTATTAATAATTTAATTTTACTATGCATTTTTTTTTAAATACTGACTTATCTTTCTTTTAAGAAGACACCTTACATTATTTTAAACATATTGGAGACGTTATTGTAAAATAGAAATAGGCTTAAAAAGTAAGAGGCTAAAGGTTGGTATTTTGTGTATGCCTTAACTTTAAAAAAATGTAATTTATACAAATTCTCTGTATAAAATCTGTATTACTGTATATTATTTTAAACATTTATACATTTACAATATTGTGTATTATGTTACTTAATATCATACACGTATTATTGATAATATTACTCTTTTGAAAACTAATTAATAAATCAAAAAAATAATATTATAATATACTTGTTATTTATTCAATCACGTCAATATAATATATTAATTTACTCACAAATTACCCGTTTTTATAAAACTAATAAGCAGATTTATAATAATCACGTTACCTATACTAAAAATATCACAGATCAAATAAAGAATAAATATTTTAAAGATTTCTTACTACAATTTTTCTTTTGTAAGAGTAAAAACTTACAACTTGTTAGTGACTAAAAATCATTAATGTTTTTTTCGTTAGATCGTAGTATTTTTCAAAATAATTATTGAAAATTCTAGTCTTTGATATCTATCATGTAATTTTAGCGTAACAGGATCTTATTATAAAGAGAATACATGGAAGAATTTCCTTAATGAAGTATTTATCCTTTATCACTGCCTTATTATAGTTATAGGAGTAACTATGATAAAATTAGGTAACATTCACATTTCACCTTAAAATTTGTTACAACCAATTTAACTATTTCAAATGATATAAATTCTGAAAATAAATTAAAATCAATTATTAACTCCTTTCTAACATTCTATTGGATAATTTAAAAAATCAAGTAAATTTTTCATTCAGTACAAATTTTTAAGGTAACATTTTGTGTTAAAATTGAAAAATTACATAATGCATAGAATGTTTATGTTTAGAATAGTGTTGGTAAAATATGGAGAAAATAGCTGTTATCAAATTACAATAGATTTATGTTACGTTGATGGAGATTTCTTAAACAGCATTTTCAGAAGAGTCGATGGGTTGAATATTTAGTTGCTACTCATCCTCAGGCGTTCCTCCATTTTCTTGATTCCAAATTTTTATATTATCCCGAAGGAGCCGCATGATTAATGTCGAGTCATTATAACTATCTACCTCGAGTACGTCCATTTCGGCTATAGCATCTTCGTATGCTTGGTTGGCTACTTGGTGTCCTCGAGATTTTTCCTGACATATCTGATACAAAAATACAGAATAATTGAGCATCAAACCTAACCGAAGAGGATGAGTGGGACACAGTGATTTCCGACTTATTTCGCTAGCCTGTTCATACGCAGTCTGCGATTCTGTCACTGCGGTTGTACGATCATCTATTTCATTCAACTCGGCCATGTACCGGTAATAGTCGCCTCGTAGCTTCCAATAAAACACTTTGGCGGACGGATTGGATGCTTTTGGTATTAATGTATTTTCTATAACTAATAGCACCTCACTACAAATATTTTGAAGCTCAGTTTCAATTTGAGATCGGTACTCTATAACGATTTCTTTATCCAGTAATAATGACGCATCATTCTGTTCGATGGTAATCAACGTACGCCGGGAATTCCGCTTGTGTTCCAAAATGCGCTTATACGCCATAGCAAACATATTATCCTCCTCCTTTGACATTGGACCATTGATCTCGGCTACAATTTTCATATACTTAGCCATATCTTCAAATCTGCTTGCCTCCTGCGCTAGCTTGGCTTTCCAAAAGGTTTGTTCTCTAATTTGCTCTTTTTCCGGGTCCATTACTTTGTCTTTGTTTTGGTTTATAAATTTAACCTTATTTTATAGGTAAAATATAGTATTTATCGTGTGTTTTTTTTGTAGCTGTGTATGTTCTAGTTGATTTTTGAACGTTAACAAAAGATACATTTTCTTAATAAATCATTGCCCTAGTTACACAATATTCAATAAATAAATCGGAAGTATTATTTTATTTGTTTTTTAAAGCAGGTTAACTTTAAAGAAAGAGATGACGTTAAAATATTTTTAAATTAATAAAATACAATTAAATTTAATGATATTTGTACTCATCATCATGTTAAAAAAGAAAAAAGATACCTAAAACTTACTGGGACGGTACTTGATTTTGGCAGCCTACTAAAAAATGACGTCTTATCTAATTTGAAAACTAGTATTCAAAGTACGATAGTTTATAATGAATAATCTAATTAGTCATCTTGTATATACAGGAAAAATATATTGTTGGGCCAACCGAAATTATGGTTAATATAGTGACCACATAATTGTTTAGTTAGTAGAAAAAGTGGCGACAGACATAAAAAAAAAATGTAGCACAGTGTTGCATAGTTGGGACAAGTATAGATAATATCTGACAGTGATTAAAATCACTATTATAAGAACGCTTCGATGCAAATCTGTGGATTTGCATCTGTTTAATTTTAATAGTTTCTGATCACATATCAATCTAAAAAATTAAAGGATTTTTTCCAATATTTAGTTCAACAAAATTTAAATCGTGTTATTTTAACGTATTGGTCAAGTGAGAGCTGAGAAAAATTAACGACAGACACAAAAATAAACCATATAGTAATATATTTTAATATGAATAATAAAGTCCTTCTCACAAGGGGAAACTAAAGCGATATCATCCTCGATATTTATTAAATATTTTTATGAATGTTATTCATTTTGAATTTTTTTTCCACCTCAAAAAAGATTAAGAAAAAAATGTAAAAAAAGTTATTACGACTGGCGGGGTTCTAATTTCATACCACGAACGTGTAAGATTGTAAAACTATAAGCATAAAGAAAAAGAACTATTTAAACTAAATAAAAAATTCAAAGTTGTTTTTCTTAACTTAGAGTTGGAAAAATAATCTAAATAAATTTAAATTTATATTTAACTGAAGTTAGATTCATGTAACTTATATAAAAATTGGTGGACTCATTACTATGATTAACCCTTATAAAGTATTTAACAATAAACAAAAAAAAAATTTTTAACACAAAAATAGCATGTTTTTATGACGGTCGTTTACATATAGAAGATAAGGTGTCGGGACAAATTTTTTTTTTAATTTATAGTATGTAACATAAACTTTAATTTGATATATGTTTAAAGGACGCAGTATTTCCGGAACATTATCAAAACTTAAGTTAAAAAAGTTGAGTTTTATAAAAAATTTGCTATTTTAAATCCCCTTGTGGGCAGGTAGAAGGTCAGATTTTCAAAAATATTATAACAAATAAAAGGCAATTACTTAAGGTTAACGAGAGGGGGACACACCACGTTGCAAACCAGCTTTTGATTAATTTCGGACTGATTCACAACGTGGTGGTGTGAATTATTAAGACGGCGTGGGCCGCCCTGAAGTAATGCTTCACGGCAGTTCCAGGGCGGCCCACAATAATGCCGGTCAAGAAAAAAAAAAGGTGTTTTAAGTCCAATTTGTTCACGCGGATAAGTGTCTTCAGAAAAAATCCAAATAGGATTAATTATTCGTTACGTTGGTATAAGGGCACAGCTTGATGATTTTTATGTCATAATTCATTTTTATCGCGATTTTTAATCATGATTGTTATTATGCTCTTATCATTTTTATTTTGTTAATAGATAATAAAAGATTCTATAATCAAAGTTTGTTTATTTTTTTTAAACAAGATATTGAGCTTAAATTATTGAATTTACTTAGTTAAATTAAGAAGATTTAAATAATTTATTGATTGTTATGTAAATATTTACTAATTATATTTTTCAAATCAAATTAGTTTTACTCCTTAACTTCACTTATCTAAATAATATATGTTAAGTGATCAAAATGAATATTGACGAAGAAAATCGTAGATATCCTTATTGTGTTGTATGGACCCCAATACCATTCATTAGGTATGGCTTCTAAAATTAAATATATATAATACATATATATACTATTTTTGGGTATATAGGTATGGTTTTTTTTTGTAAGGAACAATTTGTTATATGATATAAAAAAAAATATATAGAATGTATAATACTAACATGATATTATATTTTTTACTTAAAAGGATATAAGAGATGATTCATTGATGAAGATGGTTTAATGTAATTTATATTTTTTATGTATTTAGTTGGATATTCCCAATTATTGGCCATATGGGAATTGCTACATCAACTGGCATTATACGTGATTTTTCTGGTTCATTTTATGTTGCTGAAGATGACATGGCTTTTGGGCAGCCAACAAAATATTGGCAGTTAAATATTGAAACCATATCTGGTGGTGCCAAAGCTTGGGATAGAGCTGTTAATGAAGCATCTATAGAATATTTCAACAGAATGGTAATTTATTGACAATATAAATTATAATTAATCAAATGTTTGAAAAGTAGAAAGTTAATGTTGAATTTATCTTGAGATTTAATGTACAATAAAAATTAAAACTAAAATTTTGAAACGTTTTAAAAGTAAATATTAATAATAATAAATTTTTGAGACAATACGAGGTTATCTAGTGTTCAGAAAGTGTGATACGTAACACAGCATACTATCTTACAACTAAGGTGGTACTTCAAGCCATGACTTTGGGTAGAAAATTATTATTAACTTATGTCCCCAAGAAGAGAAATTAAGGACAAAAATGAGAAACTTTTATAAAGGTGTTCTAAGGAAAAAGGAACAGAGATTATTTTATATAATTATGACCAATTGGGTATAGTGCAATGGACACAAGCAAATACTTAAAGTTTAAACATTCAATTCACAAATTAATAACTAATTTAAAATCTAGGATTGATAGTTATCATTGTATCTTACAAAGAATCTCAATGACCTTTGTATTAATGTAACAGCCTATGGTGGAGTACACAATATAATTTCAATCCTCACATCACCAACTTTGTAGATGATTAAAAAATTAGACAATTATAGTAATATATTTTTTTAATTACTAGGAACAATTATGCCAATGAAAAAGAGGTGATAGTGGGTTTTCACCACAGTAGAAACTTGAGGTTTTATTCATTTTAATATAATTAAAATTTTAATATGTAACATTTTAATTTATCTCAATAATTAATTTATTGACTTAAATAAAATTAATAATAGAATTATTATAATAAAATTTTATGGTAAAACGAAAAAAAAAAAATGCTCAGAATAAACTGACTAATTCAGTATTTGCCGAAAGACAAATTGATGATGACAAAAACAATTTTATTTGTAATAACGATGATAATAACAACAATAATTTTATCATTACGTCATACATATACAAGAAAATTAGTAAATTTTATTACCAAAAATATTGAAAGGGAAGAAATAAGAAGGTAACCTTATAGTGTCACATATTTTTAGTTGTTATAGTTGCTATAAAGGTGAGCAAAATACCCATACACTCAGACCTATAGGTCTATCGTGTGCACCTTCTATCGAATTGTAATAATTCGGTATCTTAACATAGGTGTTTCCACCAAAGTGTTATTGCCATTGTTAAATACCTAAGACTATAAATATATAGGACGTCCTACTAGATCACACCTATATTGTTCAAAGAGTCATGTCTGTGTCTAACTTATCCTATTTAAGTAATCAATCTCTTGAGTAAATAATTTTGTAATTTTTGCTAGATTCGTTAAATTTAAAAGCACATTTGAATGTGTTTCAAATACATCGAAAGCTTTTTACAACAATGATATTAATCACTGTTGGATATGAATCAATACTAACACCATTTCTCTTGATCTCTATTATATTTTACCTTTTTAAATTCTGTATTAAGATTAAATACATGCCAACATAACTTGCATATATTTGTAGTATTTTATGATGAATAATAATTTGAGAAAATCTGTTTAACTTTGATTGATTTGTTGAAACAATAAAAATATAGTGCAGGTGTAATAGAAGTCTAATAGAAGTTTTGAATTAAAATTTCTTATAATATAAAAGTATAAATTAATTTCAAGATGAAATTTTGTTAAATAAATTAATCATAATGATTTTTTTAGCACAATTTGTTGTGTGATAATTGTCATTCACATGTTGGTATGGCATTGTCACTGGTCAATTATAGTAACAGTCAAAATTGGAACATGGTTAAATTAGCTATTTACATATTTCTTTTTGGAAAATATGTCAGGTAATATTTGTTATTCTCTTAATGATATAATGCTGTATTTAGTGTTATTGAAATAAACAGTATTTTTCTACCCTATAAAAATACAATGAATAATAAATGTTTCAAATCATTATGATTCTTAAAGTAGTAAAATTTTGGCAATTTCTTTCTATACTTAAAAGTTTATTAAAAACTAATTAATATGTTATAAACATATTATTTATTAATTATCAATAAAAAATTATAATTACAGAGTACAAGGTGATTGATTAACTATGCCTTAAAAATATATTTAAAAATATAAAACATATTATAATTTTTTGATTTCAGAAATTAATATTGTGTCTATGTTCTATAATCTTCTTTTTCCTTGCCTTTATCCGAATAGATTGGAGTTGGAAAGCTTTACACTAAACTTCCACTTGACACTATCTCCCACATCATCTATGCGTACACTAGCAGACCTCATATCACCGTCTATTACATCTAATTACATTTTTTGGTCTCCCTCTTACTTTTCTTCCTTTGGCATTCTTTTCATAACTATTTGTGCAGCTTTCAAATTTTTTTTCCTCATAATATGATTAACCATCTATGTCTAGTTTCTCTCATCTTATCCATGTTGACGTTGCATCTATACTCCATTTTATATGTTCGTTCCTTATCCTATCTTCTCTAGTCACTCTACTCATCCATGAAAGTATTCTCATCTCTGCTACACTCATTCTTTACTCTTCTCTTTCTCTTGTCAACCTCCCAACATTCTGAACGATACATCCTAGCACTACAATCTTATAGAATTTACCTTTCACCTTCATTGGAATTCTTTTATTGCATAACACACTAGACACTTCTTTCCACTTCAACCACCTTCACTTAATACCGTGTCTTACATCCTCGTCAATATCACTGCTCTTTTGCATAACTGACTTTTAATACTTAAAACTTTCCACCTCTCCAATCACGTCCTCGTCTATTGTCACTGACCTCCTCATTTCACCTACCTTGTGTTCTCCTTTGTCAAACTCGTACTGTATATACTTTATCTTACTTCTACTTATTCTTAAACCCTTTTCTTCAAGAGCTGATTTCCTCACATCTAGCTTTTGAATAATTTCATCCCCATTTTCTCCTATTAACACTATATTGTCAGCGAACAATATGCACCATGGTAACTCTCCTTGTATTCTTTAATAATTTTATGCATTACTATAAAAAATAAGTAATGGCTTTATTATTGACTTTCCAGGTAAAAAACCTAACTGATTCTTTTTTACTGATGTTTCTTCTCTTATTCTTTTGTCTATTACCTTTTCCCAAATCTTCATACTATGACTCATGAGCTTCATGCCTCTACAATTTACACACTCCTAGATGTCTTTGTCCTATGACCTTTAATTTAAAAAAAAAAATGTCCTACCCTTTTTTTTTTTAAATAGTATCAACTTAAGTTTTTAATTGGTAACATATGTTATATGTTTAACTAATTTAAAAATAAGAAAATAACTTATGAATCAACTGATCAATAATAATTTTAAAATATATTAGGACTTTTCTACTAGACGGGAAGAAGTAGTGCGTATCATAAATGTCTAAAGATAGAAATGAGCAACCCACCCTTCACTTCCATTTATTATAGTTAAATATTATTAACTTCCAAAATTTAAAAAAATTGACAAGTGGTCGTTTTCTTAGTTAGGTTATTTTATTTTTTTAAGCTAATTATACATATATATTTTCCTTTAAGAATCTTTAATTCATACTATTTTAAAGGGGACAAAAGTCGAATAAGCTAAATTTTTTTTGAAAATTATGGAACCAAGAATACTATTAATTTTTAAAAAGAAATAACTATATTATGTTTTAAATTTTTAAGAATATACTGTAAGGTAAATTTAAGTAATTACTCTGTATATTACACTGGCCAACAAATATAAACAATTTATCATTTTCTAGTGTTTTAAGGTGATTCCGAAAATAACCTTAAAATTTTCCTATTAACTTATGTTTTTGGGATATTGCATATTTTTCATTTTTGAAAACGTACAAGATTTAACTATCTAAGCTAGCCTACTCAAGATACTTAGAATTTGTAATAACTATGCAAAATTGAATAATAGCATATCATATAAAAGATACAGACGTGGAGAATTTAATACAATTCTAAAACATCCAATTTTTCAACCTTAATTAATTTTATATTAAAATAAAAGTAAACAACAATAAATTTTTGGTTAAATTTTACATATATTAAATTGTATTTTATTATATCAGTTTATTTCTATACATTTTTAGCACAGATTGATTGAAGATTAGATAAATCAGATCATAATTACTAACACATGAAAAAACTTAGATAACAACATTTTTTCTCCAAATTTAAATTAAAAAAATAAAGATAAACTGTTTATTAATCATTGAGCATTTTTAACAAAGTGAATAAATTTTATATATACGATAATGATTATCTATTCAGTTTCACTTTAGATCTTGGGGCTAATTTCCTTTATATACACCTTTTTTGTCAACTTACTTAGTACTAAGTAAATAACACTTCAGACATAATAAAATGTTATGTGCAGTTTATACTTATGAATTCTTAGGGTTTTATCAAATAAATTGGTGTCATTCAACCATTGAAATTATAAAGATAACAAAAGTCTTGATTTAATACAAGTAAAATTATCGTTATTCTCTACGTCTGTATCTTTTATATACTATTATTCAATTTTGGATAGTTATTACAAATGCTCAGTATCTTGGATAGGCTAGCTTAGCTAGTTGAATCTTGCACGCTTTCAAAAATGAAAAATATGCATTATCCCAAAAACAAAAGTTAATAAGGCAATTCTGAAATTATTTTGGAAGCAGTGACCCCAAAATACTAATAAATGACCCCTCACTAATTTTTTTATATTTGTTGGTCAGTGTTATTTTCACTGTAAATTGCTTTTAATTATTTATCTTATTTTTTCAGCATTAATGCATGGTTGAAAACATGGTGTCCGTTCTTCATTTTTTTGATCATATTTTTATCAATTTATTTTTGTACCAGTTTGTTTTGAGTTACTAATTTATTAGATAGTGTATTTTTAAGTTTTATTAACTCTTTTAAGATTTATATTAAGAAAATATTATTTATTACAAATTTATTGGCTTTTTTGTAAACAATTATTTTTATTTATTATATGTAGTAATATAACAGTTGTAAAATAATAAGATGTATAAATCTGTAAAAATGTACATACATAAACTATGCATACACACACACTCATATATATATAAGTATTAATGGTATTTAATATATTTGAAAACTCATGATATGATTTTCATTTTTTTATTTTTAACATACATGTTTAATGCCTTCTTTTAAAAGCTTGTGCTGGAGAATGGAAAAATGTGCATAAACCTGATATTTATAGTCACTATTCTTTTTGGAGAATAACAGACTAATACTGCATATAACTAATGTGATCAGGATATACGGTAACCTTAAGGAATATTTAAAAAAACGTTTATGGCTCAAAAAAAAGTAAATGAGCAATAGTATTTCAAATAATATGATAGATACTGTGAGCTTCTTAAAATTAATTTTTTTGTTTTTATTCTGAACAAAGTTTGATTTGTAAAAATTTGAAAAAATCTTAATTTTAGAATTATTTTAAGATTTAGAAAATATTTCTATACTATATGTGTAATTCAATCTCAGGAGTTAAACAAATTTCTTCCCCAATGTACTACACCCTTTCATAAATGCACTGTGTATGTATACTAAGACCCAACATGTAACTTTAACAATAAAATTAAAATAAATCTTTTTATAGGAATAGATTTTTATCCTTTTATATTAGATGTTTCTAAACTTATTTAAATCTGTATAAATACATGGTTAAGTTCAACTACATAAACTTTTGCTAATAATTTAGTAAAATAAAAATAGACATACATTATTATATTTAATTAAATGTATAAAATAGTTTTCATACCTATAATTGAAAACAAATTAAACAAAAAGTTTCTCAAGCTTTTAGCTGTCAATGTCTTATATAATATGTATGCTCATTTAACACTTCGACCTTTATCAAGACAGAATTAAGTAATATATCATTAATTTATAATAAAGTAAGAACATTTATAATAACCAATATTTTATGAATTTGTTTTATTATTATAGGTTTATTAAGAAAATAAGGTCTCATAATAAGTATCTAAATATATCTTACCAAATTTAATTATAGTAGTTATAAATGTTGCTACTATTGCTTATTTCACTTATTTGAGACAGCCTTTTTAAAATATTTGCAAAACATGATTATTTATTGAGTAAATTTATTTTAACATTAAAATGTGTCTTATCAGAATATTAAAGTAACAATTTCTCTTTAGTTTTCCTTTCCTCTAAGAAACGTGATAGGAAAATTACTTGGCATCCACCGAATGTTATTTTTTAATTGGTTACTGCTAGGTGACTCATAACAATTAATTGCATTTTCTGGCATATTTGAATGCTAAAAAAAATTTCAGCAAAAAAACAAAAAGTTTTTAAAAATCAATATATTACAGAGAAGTATAATAACAAGTAAAATGTCGAAGTATAAATAACAATGATTGTTTTAACAAAGTAAAGTGTTTTATATACAAAAGTGCAGACTAGAGGTTCTTGTTCATGAAACATATAATGATGTAAGATCACTTACCAAATGTCTATCATTAGAAAAATCATAATTATTAGCATCTGATTCTAGAAATTCTTTAACAGATATTAAACAATTTCGAATACTTTCCAAATTATAATTTAAGCTACTAGAACATGCATTGATTTCTTTAGGCATTATAAAAGGAATATTATCAAGCATGTTATATATTTTAATGCTTTCAGAAGTTAAATCATTTGCTTTAAAATCAGTTGGAGAATTGGTTGATTTTAAATCATATGGCAAAATATTTGGCCAAGTAGTTGAATTTTGGATTTGTGGGTTGATTTCAGGAGCTGTAACTGAAGAATGGTTCCTTTGAGTTTCACATGTCTCAACATTTTCAGTTTTTAACTTAGAAATTCCAAATAACCATGATGCCATTTTTTCTAAAATAAAAATAATAAATTTTTTATATTTGACAAAATTATAATTATATTTCATATTTATTTTGCATAATATTGATCATTTCATTAGAATCTATATTAATAAGATAGCATTCTAAAAGTAGTTTTTTTATAAATTTATTATTACCTTATAATAAAATTTAACATTTCTTAAATGTTTTACATCTAAGCTTTGAAAAGTTTTATACCATTAAAATATTGTATTCATACTCATTAAAAATATACCTTTTCTCACTATGTTTATTGTAGTATTTATTTTACATTTGTAATAAAGCACAGCTGATAATGCTTCCCGCTTAGGTACCAGGTTTGATTTTGCTGCGCTAAGGTATGTAGTTTTTTCTGTCTCAGCTTTAAAGCTTTATAGCTTTTTAAAGGACATTAACATATAAATAGAACAATAATTTTCTTCTTCTTTTACCTCGTCTTAATCCCAACTACTTGGAGTCAGCCACCCTTATCCTAAACTTCTACTTGACATGATCTCCCACATAAATAAAACAATAATAAAGAATAAATATTAATTTTTAATTTTTAAAAAAAGCTTTCATAGTAACTTTATTTCACTAATCTAGTCCTTTATTTTAAAAATAATCGTCACTATATGTTACTTATAATTTTTTGTTTTGTTTTTACAGTGATTTTTTTTTTAATTTAATTTAGAATTTAAATTGGCTTAGTTTTAGTTTTAATTAAAAATTAGTTGCTAGGCCTAATTTAATATTTTTTATGACAAATAGTGTAATATTAAATCAAATGAGTGAAGTGACAAATTATCAATATACTTACAAGTTTCATTTAATTGTTTTAATAGTACTATATATTTTTTATTTGATTTCTGTATTATATAACTTGGAAGTATGAGAATAAAGGTAATATCAAAATAAATACTATAATTTAAAATATTAGTCTGTTTAAATAAAACTAAACATTTTATAAGTGTGTTCACAGGAGCTGCTAAAGGTGTTATTGCTGTACCTGAATGATTAGGTTTATTAAATTGGACTAGTCACAGTGGAAATATCACCTATTACCTTAGGATTTATAGGAAAACTATTATACAATAATAGTATATAATATTAAATTAAACAAGAAAGTATTGTGTTGTTAACACCAAATATTTCTACAAAAAATTAAGATTGATTATGTTTAAGTATTTGTTGCCCCTGAATTATACACACAGTTATAAATTATAAGGACTGAGAAATATATACATTTAAAATTTTGTTAGGTTATTCTGAACACACCATAAGCCAGAACGAATTTTTAATTATTGACTTGGAACCCTTCAAACAAAATGTATAAATGCATGTAATTCACAGCCCTGGTTATAACTCTATTGTGAAATAACTTTATGGATATTAATATATATATGTTAACTACTAGTAATCATTCTAGATATAAATGTAGAACCTAAATAAAAATTTCATTCAAATTTATACTGAAAAAATCGTAGTCGGGTAGAAAAACTATTGTTGATTGAATACTAAAACCTTATTTCAAAGTAGTGAATAAAGGGTACGGTACACAAAAGCTTTCCAAAAAGGTATGTGGTAAAAAAATATTACGCCCTAGTCACTTGCACTTACCGTTTGATAAACTAATTAAGTTTGTTGTTAGAATAACAACTTTATTGTTGACAATGGAAGCGATTACTTAAAGATATTAGTAGTATAGTGTCAAAGAAAACTAATATGCAGTAAAAATATATTAGTTACGGTAGAAGTGACGAACTGCTCAAATAATTGTTGTGTAATGAATTAAATCGTTTTATCATTTATATTGCATAGTATCAAGCAGCTGTTGATGATAACGGTGTTTTAAGAATCTAGTCTGATACGATAAGGGAAGCGCAAGCGCGCCCCTTAATTTACCGACCCACTGCCATCATGTGCCGGCGATACCTCACGCGCACAATCAGTAGGTTAACGTTTGAATATTAGTTTAGACGTGTGTTCGTCGGAAAATCTGGAAAAAGTTGACTACAGACATATTAAAAGCACCATCAAAATAATAACAATACATTTTTTTTTCGTTTTGTCCGTCGCTACGTTTGAACCGCTTCGGTATCGTACTTGCACGTACTCCGATATTGTTTGGCAATTTATGAGTACAACAATAAAAATTTGTGTACATAATATTTGTTATTTCTAATATTACACCATTAAGTTACTATAGGCTGTACTATAAGCCATACACGTTTGTGTTCCCCCTCTACCGCGTATGTTCACAGCGTATATGAATCGTATGTGCTGTATCTGTTGTGTCCAAAGTTTCGAGCAACTGGTTATTTGTCGCCGTGGTTGCCGCAACACTGCGCGGATAAAAAAATAAAATGAATTTAACATACACAATTCGGTATTTGTGTAGTGATTACGATCGAGCGTTCTATTGATACGGTGATGTTTTTGCGTTCGCCTATGTTTTTCGCATGATCAACTATGTTGTATTCAGTAAATTAACGAAATATTAAATAAATCTTTACGGTTCTATAGAAAAAATATTTTATCATAAAATTGCAAATCAGATGATGGACGGACACTTCAAAATGTATAATTTTATTTGAGTGATAACGTCGGTCACTACGAGCACAAAAATGGAATATGCATTGGTGTCTTACGTGTGCCTATGAACTTTGTAATTTGGACGACAACACAGGTAATTCTTTTTATAATAAATTTATTTATGCATTGTTGTCTGCGGCTGTTCCGAACAATGTACTTGAGATTTGAGTGACAATAGTGACTTAGTCTAATAATTTTAACCTTGAACTTGTCAGTGATGTGTAGTTACAACTTGAATTATGCCTATGTAACTTAAAGATACATTTTTAGATTTTTTACTTGAACAAGGAAAACAACAGTTATGAATTCTGTTTCGTTTGTTTTCATGTTATGTTAAAATAATATATATACTTATATGTATCATAATAACATTTTAAAGATTATATAATAGATCCTTAATAATAATCCTAGAAGCCATTATATACTTAATCATAAATGGGGGACTTTAATATGATAATTAATTATTTATTTTTAGGTTGTCAATAATATATGCCTTAAAATTATTAATAACAAATTTGTTTATTTATATTCAACAGGTTATCAACATCAACAGAAACCTGTTGAATAATTTAAATTTTTATAAAAAGTAAATCTGTATTTTAGATAACATTTGGTGAAGATTTTCTTAAAAAATTCATTAAATTTTACATTTTTATTATTAATATATAAATTATTATAAAATATCAATAAAAATGAAAAAGCCCATTTATTAATATTTATTGAATGTATAATTTTTCAAAATAGTGTTTTTATATTTTGTCTTTGAATTTTATGTTTTCATTTGAACATTTTAAATAAAATGAGTGGAAGTTATATATTAATATTTGTGTATATTTATTAAAAATATTTGTTATTTTAAATGTTATGCTCAATTCTAGTATGATTTAAACAAATTAACATAATTATAATAATAAGATAGACAATATTTTTTTGTTTTAATGACACAAAAAAATTATTTTAAGTTTAACAAGTAGAAAGTATATTTAAAAGTTTCAGTCATATTTAAACTGTTACGTAATTGCTTATTTTAATAATTATAATATAATATAATTTTAATAAAGTTAAAAGTACTTGCATATCTATTATAATACTTTAAAATTTAAATTATTGAAATTAGTAATTGCTAACAAAAATAAGTTGGAATAGTATTTTGAATTATACTATGGTTAGAGATAAGTAATGGGAAGTTAAACACAAATTATGCACAATTAAAAAAATATTCTTATTTATCTAGTATTTTAGACAGTAGTGGAAAAAGATAAAAATAACTAATAAACTTGAGACACCATTTATAAAATGATAATGCTAAAAACAAAAAAATTTCTTATTTGAGCAATTTTGTTGAATATTTTTTAAATTTTTGGATAATTTTTATTTTTTAATAAGATTTTATATAAATTTCAGAGATATTAAAGAAGCTCTGTTTATTATAAATTTTAATGCTATATTTCTTTTAAAAACATTCTAGTGTATTTTTCTTCATTGTATTTAAAGAAATACTTGAATAGTAATATAATTTAAAATATTAATGAATTTAATCTATTAATAATCTAATCATATTTTATTTTATATTATAAGGTAACAAATATTTATAATAATGTAGTGTATTTAAAATAAGAATGAGAACAGTTATATTTAAGAATTAAATTAATTATCATAAACATCTAATTTGATACAAATGTTGGCAAAATTCAAGTTAGTTATGATTGGTTATTTCAATTTATATTTGAGTAGTATTATAAATTTTTAATTTTTATCATATATTGATAAATTACAATTTTATGTATTAAATACATTAACTTTAATAATAATATATATGTTAGTCTTAATTTTAATTTTAAATAAAAAATTTTTTTCTTTAAAAGTTTAAATACATTATGATAACTTAAAATACATTATATAAAAATAATTTTTATCAATACTATTATTTGGAGTAAATATCGCTTAAAATAAAAAAAATATGGTTTGTTTTCCAGACACAAGTGTCTTGCTGAATCATAGGTTATAAATAAACTTTTCTTCAAGATAAAAAAAAATATATTACTATAAAAGAGTACAAGAAATAAAATAAAATAATTATTTGCTATTTAACTACCATAATTTTTAACTCTTTATTTTATTGAATAATTTTTTATACAAACGTATGAATTATAATTATTCAATAGTTTTTATAAAAAGGAATTGTCAAGCCCTTCCTTGTTCGCTTTAATTTATCATCTTTAATTTTCTCTAATTACTACTGAATAGATTTTTTTGATAATGAATTCAGATTAAATTTGATACCTTAATTATTGAAACATTTTTTTATTTGCATATCAACATATAAATCCCTCCTTTTTTTTTTTGCTTTTCATCTTTGCTGGTGGGGGATTTTTAAATGCAGGACATAATCAAGCGAGTGCATTAGTTTCCACCAGCCCTGATTATAATTGTAAAACCTGATGGCACAACTTGATTACCCTACTTTTTTGAAAATTTACTTTTTAGTGAAATATTATATGGCAGAAACAACATGATTTAATGGCACAGCAAACAGATAAGTTTAATAATTTATCATTAAATTATAGCAAAAAGGCAAGTTTTTTATTTTTGTGTTTTAATTTAAAATAAGTTTGTTATTTATTTCTACTGAAAATGTTTTAAAAGTGAAAGATATTGTCTGGTTATTGAAGCAAGCCTATCAATTGTCTAGAGAGTGGAGTTCTCTAAATAATTTTGGGCTTTTATATGATTTGAGCATTAATTGTTTCAATGAAAAATTGTTGAATGTTTTTTAGTCACACTAGTCCTGATTGGTGATGTTATTAATACCTGGGAATCTTTTTAATTTGTAATATACCTTAATGTATATTACTAAAATAGATATTTTTGGAAAATTCATACTCTAATACTTATAAAAACACATATTTTGTATTTGAAGGGGTGAACTAGATTTAAGGTTAATTTAAAGATTCGTCTTTACCAGGTACTCCTGTACTAACGTGTCTAAGCGATTTTGATGTTTAAATAAGAAGCATAGTCACAGAACGAGTCCTAATGTATAAATATTTGGATCATTGGCATACTTAGGTGTCTTCTTGGGGCTGGATGTACTAGTTTTTGGAAGGAATTAGTCCTGAATAGAACAGATTCCTGGAACAAGTTGTTTTTGTAAAAACGAAGCTAGGAAATTCTTTTAAAAATTAGGGAACTAAAAACGTGAACAAATTCATTTTTATTGAAACGAACAAAATGTACAGTTCCTTTTAATTTAAGTATTTCTAAAACTATTTTCTTTGTTTCGAGGTGTTATAATTAAAAATGTAGTTTTACGTCGACTATTAAAAATATTTCTTGCATTGAAATCTGATAACCCTAACTATATATCTATATTGTCTCCATTATGTTATCAATATTATATAATTTTTATGTACTATGATATTAATAACGTTTTTAATGATTTTAAATAAATTATTACATTTACATTGAATATCTTTTAAGCACAGGATCTTAGGCATAATTTAGGAAGTTCAGAGCGGACTTAATCTCCTTAATTCTGTCACAGCTCCCCCATAAATTTTTTTTTAAATTATATGTTAATTTATGTAACAAAAAAAATTAAGGAGGTAAGAAATAAGTTAGATCCTTTAAACATTTTGTCTAAATTGTGCCTATACATATGATAACTAAAATATATCTTATACTTAAATTTTAAACTATGGTTATAATATTAGTATTATAATAATAGCAAGTTTTTAAATATTTCTTTAACAAAAAGGAATATAAAAGAAAGAGTTCTTTTTCTAGAAGAACGGGATCTGGAATAAGTTCTTTAAAAAAAAAACGAGGATCTGGAACGAGTTTCTATTTTAGGAAATGAACGAGGAACGGAACGTGTTCCGTTTAAAGAGGAAATTTTCCAACATTGGGATATATAAAATAAACATTTTCATCATACTCTTCTAACGAAAAAAAGTAGTATCTTGTAGTTATTTTTGTCATAAGGAGGATGTGACACCGATTTTCCCTCATAATTACGCCAGTGATACATAAAGTAAGTATATAGTGATGGGGATACAGCTCGTGCTGGTGCACTTGTACTGCACCTGCATTTTATACCCACTTTATGTATTAAAATGTTGTATTATTAGTTAGATCTAAAATAAATAAAAATATTATATATATTGATATATTCCTTCGCTACTATATTATAGTAACCAGCTAATCTCATACTAAAACCTTATTCAGTAACGTACTCAGAGAGTGAGTGATCTCTCAATTGAGAGCCATATGAAATGAAGTGATGAGCAAAAAAAAAAGGTCAAAAATATGGAATTTTGAAGATTTTTTTTATTTTAAAATTCTGGCAATGTCATTGATCCCGTTAGAAATCGTTATTAAGTTTTCAAGCTAATTAATACAAACTTATACTATACATTTATAAATCCAAGCTCTACTTATTATCAAATACGTTTTGCCCTTAAGTAACATTATTTAACTATAATTTTAAAGGTGGAATTTGATTCTATATGCAATGGTTTCGGAAATTAAGCTAATTCTTGAGGATTTAATTTAATCCATACTTGATTACTTTAATAAAAAGAAAAAATTTGATTTTTATAATCATGCGTTTGCAGTTCTATCTAGTTGTAGTTGTGTGCTAGAATAGTATATAATAATAATGTATATTTAGGAAACTGTCCTAGAAATCAATATTTATTGTTAAAAGAAGAATTTTTAGTTTAATATTTAACAACCTTGAACTATTCCTACCCCAGCAACGAATTCGGCAATAATTTATATTAGGAGGTAATCATATTTGCTGGACTAAAAAAATTCTCAGTTGTCATGTTTATTATTCGTAGATACTTAACTTGAACTACAACTTTTCTACGCGTAACTGACCTTTTATATCGATTTTTATTTTCATTTGTCATAAGTATAATAGCTGAATATATCTAAAAATAACTAAAAAAAAACCCACTACCATACTTTTAGTTCTAACATACAGATGATCGGTTTATCATTAACTACTCGATTACTGTCAAAATAAATACCATGTTGGAAAAACAATTTTTTACTTCTTTTAGTTATATATAATTCTTAAATTATCAGCTAATAATTACTTTTTAGAATCATCCTTTATAACTTTAAGGGGTGTCAACTTTATATTTTTTAATGGTAACAGATATATTGAACTAGTACTTAGGGTATTATTCTCATTTTTATACCTAGGCGGGTCAAAAAGTACGACCAAGGAATTACTAGTGATAAAAATAGCAGCTCCCATTTCTCACCCCAGTCAATATTTAACATTTTTAATAACTTGTGAAATTCTGGTCCAAAAGTTATTATCGACCAATTATTTTCCTAAATATATTATTTCCTATTTTATAAGCTAGTTAAATATGTATCTTACCATTAAAAACTATAAAGTAGACATCCCTATTAGTTGATGATATTAGAGATGATTCTAAGAAGTAATTATTAGCTGATAAATCAAAGATTATATGTAACTAAAACAGATCAATAATTGTTTTTCCAATATTGTATTTATTTTAAGAGTAATAATGGAGTGGTTTACAATAAACCGATCAGACTGTATTGTGGAAAAATAAAAATGTTTTAAATAATCATTCTTAACTAACCAATAATGTTTATATATTTATATTTGCCATGTTATTTATAATAATAGCATAAAAATTGTATGCTATAAATATGAAATGTTCTCATTTAAAACATACACTACATTAAATTAATAGTACTAATTACAATATTACTATAGGGTCATTCCATATATAAAGACAGCTTTTTTTAAATTGTTTTTTCGTTTAAAATTTTTATATTGTCCATTAAACCCTAAAGTATGATATAAATGTTAATTTCATACATTTTTACAGATTGGCAATTTTTGACTTGTAATGCATTGAAAAAATGGAGCCTTTGTTGTCGCAGTAAAAAGTGTTATATGAAGGCTGTGGCCGAAATTTTCGTTTAAATATGTCCTCTGATCCTTCAGAATCTAACGTTAATAGGACAGGTGAGTGTGTAGTTTACTTTATGTTAAATTAATTAAATAACAGTTGAATAGTTCTTTTTATACTAATTTACTCATTTGAAATTATTTATTTATTTTTATTAAATTATACTTGTAGAAAGTTAATATTATGTAACCGTACATAATAATGTTCTTATATTTTTAAGAATGAATTAATATTCTAGGGTATTGTCCAACAACAATATAAGTATGAATAAACTAATAAAATAATAACTTCAAAAATATTTTATTTCTGTAGAAATATGAGCTTTTTGATATTTTCCGATTTGGGTCAATATTCTCGTTAAACGTAACTATCGAAAGGCTATTATTATCAAATAACAATCTAATAAAAATAAAGTTGATATTTTTTTAATAACTCGCGTAAAAAATAACTATGTAGATCTTGGATAAATTTTTATTTATTTCTGATAAGTCATTCCGACCATATCGGCCAGTACAAAATTGTATCAATTGGATTGAAAACTTAGTATTGTGTACTTACTAGGGCTATAATACTGGGGAGGAGGACTAGCAGTGTTTATTTTTTCTTAAACGAAAAATATTTCTATGCTTCTATACAGGAATGATCAATTAATCATGAATCACTCGATTACCCATAAATAAGAATATTGAGAATTTTTTTTTGTATTTATCAGTTACACATAATTTTTAATTTATCAGCTATTAAGTATTTGTTTGGTTGATCCCTTATCAACACTGTTTTACTATTTTATAAGCTAGTCTTATATGTATTTTTCCATTAGAAAAAAAGGTAGTTAACATCCCTATGAGATATAAGAGATGACCCTAAAAAAATATTTTATAACAGAAAAATAGAGATACAAAAAATAATATAAATTGCAAACAAAAATTGTTTCCAAAAAACTTATTTGTTAAAAGAAATCGAGTGAATAGCGTTAAAACAATCACCTTGTAATATTGATTAATTTGTTTAGATTTCAATGATTTTGTTATGTAATAATTTATTACATAACAAAAATTTATTTAAGGAAATAACGATTATTTATACAAAATAATTAAAAAAACTTAACAATTATTTTAAGTATATTTTATTTTATTCAAATTTCCAGGTTAATCCAAATTGGGTAAGACTCTCACTTACTCCAAAAATGTCGAGAATTTTTCATTTTTGTTAATAAAAAAAATATTAGTTTTTTAAACTTAATATTTTTTTTATTACAACAATATTAAATTCGAGTGAATGATAATAGTAGGTAGTAAATGTCTAGTGATAAAAAATAGTAGCACCCATTCCTTACCTCCAGTCAATATTTTAAATTATTAATAACTTTTGAAATACTAGTCCAAAAGTTGTTATCGGGCATTTATTTCCCTCGATATATTATTTCCTATTTTATAAGCTAATTAAATATGTATCTTACCATTAAAAAATATAAAGTTGACATCCCTATAAGTTATAAGGTATGATTCTAAAAAGTATTATTAGCTGATAAATCAAATATTATATATATAACTAAAACAAAAAAAAATTGTTTTTCCAATATTGTATTTATTTTAAGACTAATAATCGTGTTAAAGTATTTTCTTTCTTATAAGCTAATTAAGTATGTATTGTTCATACCCATATAACGTATTAGGGATGAACCAAACAAATACTTAATAGTTGCAAGATAGAGAATTATATATAACTGAATAATATAAAAATAAATTCTCAAAATTATTATTATTTTAGTGTAATCAAGTAACTTAAAATTTACAGATCGCCTGTATATGTCTACAACATATTTGTATAATTTTGGGTCTTTTTAAAATGCCTTGAACAAAATGTTTAAATGTAATAAATTCGGGCTTTAATCATAATCAATGTAAAATTTTCCAACGTAATAGTTAAGGAAAGTTTAGGTTTTTTTTTTTTCAAATAAACGAGCCTTACTAAATTAAATTGTACAGGTGTTATTTTTATTGATCAATAGATATTGTTTATATAATAGTAAATGTTTTTAATTGTTACTTTAAAAAAACTATAAATATGAAGTTCATCGAGCTTTAGAATAGACGGTGACATCACAGATGATATGTTCCCTAGAATATTAAAATAATGGTGACTAATATGTATTAACAATTTTTATACAAACTTAAATTAATACTCTTTAGAGTGGAGGCCGTAGATATAATACGCAGTATTTTTCTTCTGCGCAACTTCTATTTTCTTGTTTGAATATTTAATTATTTTATAACACCTTTTCACATATTTCGTTGTATATAGAACGAAGCAATGACTTCATAGTATAATTAATGTTATTAATTTTTTAGACATACTTTTAACATATTAGTGCTGCAAATCGAAAAGTTGATACTTATTCCCTTATTATTTGTAAAAATGTATAAAATGTAAAAGGAAACCTAATTATTCAAATCAATTTCCACATTTTATGAATTTTGATTTTATAATAATATATTCGTGCTTTGTCCGTAGAACTATTAATACATGAAGATATTGTGTGTATTTCATTTACTTAAGCATTTAAAATATATACAGGGTGATTTATTTATCACGAACAAACTTAATCCAAAAAAGTGTTACATATAACTTTTACGAATTTCATTTTATTTCCCGCCGACTCTATAATTGCCACGGAGGAGATTAATAATATACATAGATTAAGCAAAGTTAGGGGCGGCTACGTCATCATACAAGATATAAGAGCAAATTATTTTTATTAAATGTTTTTATTATTGGAGTATTGTGAATTTAAGAATTAATTATAAATAAAAAAAATCAATCTGAATCTCTACTGCTTTCTTCTTTGTCGTTATTCATTATGAGAGCTTTTGGAGGCAGTCTATTTGGTGGTATTTTACTTTATGATTGTAATGCTGAAATAATCGGATCTGATGTGATTAATAAAAACTTGAATAAATCTGAGTTAGTATTTACATGTGAGGATTTTCTTGAATGGTATTCTCTTAATAGCTTCAAATCTTTGTTTCTTGACTTTTGCACCTCTTCAGACAACTGGCTAATAAGAACAATAACGTTTTTAATTATCAATGTATTAAATGTCTTAAAATTTTATGTACACTTGGTGGCATACGATACCAACTATATAACTCTACATACAGTTTAGCAATTTCATTATAAGCGCATTATCGTCAAATCGTTTTTAATTTATGTCATGACCACGACTCATGACTGTAAGTACTGTAGCGAACCTTTTAATCAAACGATAATCAACTCTAGTGATCTCAGAAACTTTTAGGGAGTATTTAAACAATTTTCTTGCAGCATTACCAGTGTTCGATATACCATGTTCTGAACTACTCAATTTTTGTACCTAATTCTTACCATAGACGAGGTTGTATTTCTTGTTTTCTGTCTGATATTAATTTTTTTTTTGTTTAATAGTTAACATTTTTGCTGTAGAAGTTGATTCTAATTTATAGGCAATAATCAAGTGTACATAAAAACTTTATCCACCCGTGTAGTGTGGATAATCTATCCACACTAAGTTAAGTTACCTTCATCTATTTTAAACGTACGGCATTATATTTAGGTTATTCATATTTGTTGGGTTACATTTGCAAATATAACAATTCTAACTTGAAAATTCTTTTAGTAAAAAATGGTAATTACTTTACCATCAATCATTGTCATTATCATTGCATAATTTATAAATATAACATTTTTTTTAAGGGTTGTAATTCTAAAATTTCTAGTTCGACTTATCTTGCCTAATTTTTCGTAACCACTGCTATTTCTTTTTCAATTATCAATTTAATTGCCCGACAATACCGCGTAGATGAAGGTGTATGATTTTCCCATGAAATAATTTTTTCATTCAAACTTATAGATGTTTCCATTAGTTGCAGAGGAACAAATGAAAATAAAAAACACTGCCATCTGTTATAGTTTGACTGTTTTGCAAATTTTCAACATTTCGGTTGTGTTCACTGTAGCAAGAACTCACTCCTATCACAATCCCATTTACATATAAAATAAAAATTATTAAATTCATTTTCAACATTTATATTGTTATCCAAGTAAAATGATTTAAATAATATGTTTACAATATGATCTAAAACATTTGGTAAAGAAACAAAAGCTTTTACTTTATTAATATCTATGCCTTCAGGTAACGTTTATATTTTGCTACACGAATATGATTATAAGAAGGATAAATATTTTCCTTTCGTGTTTTATCCTTAATCTAGTTTTAACGTATGCATCTTTTGACATATGGGTGTCGATAATTAACGCTAAAACCTCATGTTCTGTGTATGATAAGATAGTTGTAGTATTATACAAAAACTTGTTATAATAATAGTTTGATTCCTTCTATGTTTTATCAATAGTGCAATAAAATCCCTTAACTCTGTTGCCATTCATTTTTCAAAATCGTCATCCTCAACACTACAATTTTTAATTAGTCTACTTTCAAGTAATTCATTAATAAAAATCAAATTTAATTTGGCTAAAAGGCATATTAAATGTTTTTTTAAAGAAATCTCACTGTCAGAGAACTATTTTTTATAATTGCTTATCACTATTATCTAAAAATTCATCAAAAATTTAATTAAGAGGGTCGGGGAGGGGAAATAAATAATATTTCGTATTAGAGTACATATATTTAACAATACTTATTAAAAAATTTTAAATCTTTTGATGACACTAAAAATAGTTGTTACCTTTTTTAAAGTAAAATAATTATTTCATTGACTTCATAATTAAAGACTTAAATGATGTCTGTATTTTAACATAAATAATAGACTGAAAATAAATTGTTATCTTCTGAACCAAACATAACCATGTCATTTAAATTCTTTAAAAGATTGCTTAGAAAGTGGCAAATGCTGTACACATTTTATTAGTTACATAAATAACTGAAATACTTTACAGAATTCAATATCTAATGACAATATTTAAGCTTATCGTCGCGTCATGGTGATAGACTTATAATTGGTAATAAAGATTCTATATTTACTATCACTTAGAACCAGTTTATATAAAATCGAATTAA